TAATTCGAGCTCGGTACCCTCTCTCTCTCTCTCTCTCTATTATCCTCCATTTGACCTTCGAGAAGTCAGAGAGATAATATCATTAGTGTCTCACCAGAGAAACCAAGTAGGAGGGAGGTTCACAGAGGAGGAGGAGTTCCTGGTTCAGATGCTTCCGTGTCTTCTGGTCATCAGAATGAGTATAAAAGGACTGAGGTGATGGGAAATGGTACTTGACTGTCTACTGTGTCTCGTCTCAGTTTAAATGTGAGTTTTATCATTGGCTAGCGGGGGTCATATTGGCCTAGGCAGAATGGCTTGTTTTGCTAGCGAAAGTTTGAGAAAGCTAGGGATAGTTGAGATAAGCAGATAGACCGAAGATAAGCTAAAGGAAGCTAGGCCAAACTAGGTAACTGAAGAAGCTCAAGCTAGCTTTAAGGTATAAGATATAAGGCATAGGGTTGAAGTTAAGAGGCTTAAAGCTCAGGGTTTAAGGTACAAAGTTCAAGGTATAAGGTTAAAAGCTCAAGGTTTGAATATTGAGGTTTGAGGTATAGGGATAAAGGTAGGATGCTTAGGGTTACAGGTTTGAGGTTAGATATTTAAGGCTTAATGTTTAAGGTTTAAGGTTTAAGGTTAAAAGCTAGGCAAATCAAGCTAGGGCAAGCTAAGCTAGCTTTAACTAGAATATGATTAGAGAGACTGTAAGGTGCACCAAACTAGAATCAGCTACGCTCACCTAGGCTTAACAATTCGAAATTATCTTTAAAAACTGCATTAACTTCAAACCTTTCATATGTAGCAAGGTTAGATTTGAAGCGATCGCTTACGTTTGAGCAAGGTTGCCGTTTAGCTGGGTCAGATCAGCAAGCTTTTGAGCTTCATGAGCTTTGCGCCGTATCCTAGTTTCTAGCTTCTAGCTTCTAGCCTATGGCTCCTAGACTCTGGATCCTAGCTTCTAGCTTCTAGCTTTTTGCTTCAAGCGTCTAGCTTCTAGCTTCTAGCTTCTACCCCTTCCTCCTCCTACCTTACAATAGAGGCGCAAGCTTTGCGCTTAAAGCTCCAAGCTTTAGGCTTCAGATCAGCTTAGCCTAAGCTTCTCACTATTGAACACTTGCACGCAGTTTCTTAGCTTCACCCCTCCCCCTTCTACGCCCCCTAGCCAACGCCGTCTTTCCAGAATGTCTGAGGACCCGAAACAAGTCTCGATCGAGACGGAATCCCTGCGCAAGGTGGCATTCTTCGGAATCGCGGTCTCCACCATCGCCACGTTGACGGCTATTGTGGCAGTGCCAATGTTGTACAACTACATGCAACATGTGCAATCCTCACTTCAATCAGAAGTCGAATTCTGCTCACACAGATCGAATGGACTTTGGGATGAGTACAAGAGAGTGAGTCTCTAATTCATACGATAGAAATTTATTTGAGCTACGAGCTATCAAGCAATTTTGCAGTTCGAAGGAGTCGCTGGAGTCGAGGGACGCATCAAACGTGACACCTACCACCGCCGTTTCCACGCCAAACAACGTCGTCAATCCTACGACGATTCCGGTGTCAATGGTGGATTCTCCTCTGGAAACAACGGAGGATCTTGCTGCTCTTGCGGAGTTGGATCCGCTGGACCGCCAGGATCTCCAGGACAAGACGGAGCTCCAGGAAACGACGGAGCTCCAGGAGCCCCAGGAAATCCAGGACAAGACGCTCAAGAGAACTCTGTTGCCTCTGCCGACTCATTCTGTTTCGATTGCCCAGCTGGACCACCAGGACCATCAGGAGCGCCAGGACAAAAGGGACCATCCGGAGCACCAGGACAGCCAGGAAGATCCGGAGGAAATGCGCTTCCAGGACCACCAGGACCAGCTGGACCACCAGGACCAGCCGGACAGCCAGGATCTAATGGAAATGCAGGAGCACCAGGACAGCCAGGACGCGTTGTTGATGTTCCAGGGACTCCAGGACCAGCCGGACCACCAGGACCACCAGGACCAGCAGGAGCACCAGGACAGCCAGGACAAGCCGGACATGCTCAGCCAGGACAGCCAGGACCACAGGGAGATGCTGGAGCTCCAGGAGCACCAGGACAACCAGGACAAGCTGGACAGCCAGGAAACGATGGAGATCAAGGAGGTCAAGGACAATGCGACCATTGTCCACCACCAAGAACCGCTCCAGGATATTAGTGACTTTTTGACAATTGATCTTTGCTTTTTTCTTTTAAATAAGTTTAATAAATACTGCCAAGCATCAAGACTTTTTTTGAAATTTGCAAAAATTATAATTTTAACAAAATTTCCACCCTCTGCAACTTGTCTAGTTATTATCTGATTTTTGAGCTTATTAACTTGAAATGTAGGAAATTTCCAGAGTTTTCAGAAACATTATTTTTTGAACTAGTGCATAAATGCAAGTGCGCTCCACTGGACGTTAAAAAACACATGTTATTGAAACGCGCTCTACTGGACTTCATCTTCCAAGCCTCATATCTCGGCTAGTTTTATACTGATTTCTATGGTTGTTAGCTTGAAATATAGGAAATTTGAAGAGCTTTCAGATAAATTATTTTTCAAAACATTGCATTATTTTAAATGCGCTCTACTGGACGTAAAAAAAAAGAACAAGCGTTGCATAAAGAGAGATGAGGTGCCAACTTCAAGTCATCGTAAGTAAGGGCTTTAAGAGCTCATAACTTGCCGGTTTTTTGAGCTTTTTTCATAATTTTTAGTTTAGAATGTGGGAAATTTATATAGCTTCATAAATATATCATTAAAAATTTTATTTTCATAATAATTGTGGCAAGTGCGCTCTACTGCACATTTTATACAGTAATCAAAACCGCATTTCCCTCTAATTGAAGCCCCACTCCAACCGTTAACTTTGAGCTCAATCAACAATTTGTCAACTGATATTGTTATTTATCACAATATCAATTGTGTTATCACAACATCACCAGTCTTTTATTAATTGGCAGGTTTCCAATATCTCTTATAGGAACCGAGATAATTGAGCTCGAAGTGAAAACTAGCGTATTCTCTCTCATTCGCTCAACAAAACTGTTAGCTTTGAGCTCATTTATCTCGTTTACCGTGAGAGATATCAAAAATGTCTCAACTGATAAATTGTTTATCATAATATCACAAACATTTTATCAGTTGACAAATTTTCTATATCTCTCGAAGGAACCGAGATAATTGAGCTCAAAGTTGATGGTATTGGGTGGGCTTCTAGTAGAATAATTCGGTTAGTTTTCAATCGATTTTCATAGCTTTTTTTTCAATTTTTTAAAAACATTTTTCCAATGAAAAACCTTACCAATATGCATCATATCCTTCATCACGTCTTCATTAATCCTCCAATTCTGAAATTCATGCTTAGACACTGTCGAACATTGTGTAGGCGTCGGAGATGGTGCAGAAAGTTCGCGAAGGTGTTTTAAATGATCGTCACTCAGTTTCTGAAGATATGGAGAATTCCGTCGTTTCAGAGGAAATGCATCGGTGGGTCTTAAAGGAGTTGCCACGTCATCTTTTTCCTCCTCTTCTGATTCCTCGTCCTCCATTTCTTCGACGATGATTTCCGGATGCAACATTTTGATGAATTTGTCTGGAACCTTCTGGATTTTAGGACTTAAAAAAGGAGCTAAAGATTGATTTGTTGATTTTTGAAAAATTGAAAAAAGCTAAATTTTTAAAAAAGCAAAAAAAAAAAATTGAGCTGAAGGAATTCCGTTTCTTCTCTTATCAGAGCCAATTTTGCCACACACAAATTCGATTTTTCGTTATCAGTTGATGAAGAGAATTAGAGTGAAAAGTGCACCAGAAATTATTATAATTTAGGAGGGAATTTGAAAAAAAATTTTTTAGAAAAATTGCTAAAAATTCTAAAAATTGCATTTTTCAAATAGTCATAGCTCTCTTAATTTTTAAGATATTCTTTTGCTTTGTACATCAAATTGAAGATAATATTATTGGCTTTCAGAACATATGTAGTTCTACACATAAATTTTAGTTTTTAGTTTGCTGGAGCGCGTTTGCAACATGCACTATTTTGAATAAGATTCCCAAATTAAAGTACCTATATTTCTGCTTATTTTTGAGATATTTAATGAAAATTACAGCAAAAGATAGACAGTTTTACAAGGTTCATGAAAAAATACAATTCGTTTAGGTGTTTTCAGAAGTCAGTCTGTTGGAGCGCATTTGCAACATACACTTTTTTGAAATAAGGCTCTTAAATTCAAATTCGTATATCTCGGCTAGTTTTCAAGATATTCAAATGAACGTTACACCAGAAGTTAGATATTTTTTTAGCTTTTCAAAAATATTAAGTTCATCCAATAGTTTTTGTAGTCATTCCGCTGGGGCGCATTTGCAACATGCACCTTTCTGAAACAAGGCGCCATGATTCAAATCTTCATATTTCTCCTGATTTTGAACATATTCGATTGATAATTACACCCAAAGAGAGACAATTTTTCAAGATATTTGAAAATACTACAATTTCTATGAAAATATTTTGCTATGTGTCCACTGGAGCGCATTTGCAACATGCCACCCTTCAAAGAGAGCTTTTGAGGTGTGCAAACTTCAAATCTTTATATCTCGGTTAGTATTCAACATATCCAAATGAAATTTAAACCGAACGATAGATAATTACTCCAGAATTTTGAAAATACAAAATTCATTCAAAAGTTTTCAGCAGGAAGTTTTGTTGGAGCGCATTTGCGACATGAAACCCTTCAATTAAAGATTATGGGGTCTAGAAACTTCAAACATTCATGATTTGGCTAGTTTTTTAGCTAAAACTATGAAAATTATTCCAAAAGATAGGAAATTTTCCGAGATTTCGATAAATATGTTATTCTTTCAAAAAAAGTTTTTCATTCAGTCCACTGGAGCGCATTTGTAACATGAGCACATATATATAGTTCTGTAAGTTTCAACTCATCATAACTCTTTCCATATTTTTGAAAATTCAATGGTTTTTATATCATACGGTAGGAAATTTAAAGCGTATTCAGAATTGCAAAAGTTTTACAGAACATTTAAATTTCCACTCCACTGGAGCGCATTTGCAACATTTATCCCTTTAAACATCCGGATACTCATAACTTCCACCCTACTTTCATTTTGCAATGACTAATAACAGGAACGGAATCGCAAAAAGTGTGATTCCATTAAAACAAAAAGCCTTTCGGTCTTCTCAATTAACCTGAAAACCCCCACTCCAAGGAGGCGCCCCATTGCCTAGTTTTCACTATATTCCTGTGTCTCTCGATTTCCCGCACTCTCTCGCTGCTTATGAGTAAACCAGGATATATATTGACAGGTAATTTTATTATTATTAGCCATGTCTATATGTTTTTCCCTTTCCGTTCCAGGTGAAAGTGTGTGAAGAGTCGCCGTATATAAACCCTTTCCCCGCTTCCTCTTCCTCCTCAACTCGTGCTTCCCCACCCTCTCCTATACGCCCTCCACTTCTTCTCCTCTCGTGTCCTCGGTAGTATAGTGGTGAGTATCCGCGTCTGTCACATGCGAGACCCGGGTTCAATTCCCGGCCGGGGAGAAACATTTTTTGTTTGGTTTTATAGCTGTTTCAGATGTCTAAAATCGCAACTCTTTGCTTATTTTTGGTCCTTCTCGATGTGTGTAATGGATGTGCCGGATTATTTGGAGGTGGTGGAGGTGGTTGCTGCTGTCAAAGTGGTTGTGGTCGAAAGAAGCGAAGTGTAGATGACGAAGAGGCACCGGGATTTCAATTTCGAGGAATTGCGAGTAAAGCTGATGATATGTTGTGCAATAGTCCGGATATGAAGGCGTTGATTCAAGCGGTAGGTTGTAAAAATTAAAAAAAAGGTTTTTTGGGTGATTTTTTCAAAAGATCATAACTTTCTTAATATTTGAGATAACTATTGATTTTTACATCATATTGAAGATAATTTTACTGGCTTTCAGAAAATATATACTTTGTTTACCAACTTCAAATTTTAAGTTTGCTGGAGCGCATTTACAACATGCAATGTTTTAATTAAGGTTCTCAAATTCAACTCTTCATATCTTGACTAGTTTTCAGCATATTCGAATGAAAATCACACCAAAAGATAGGAAATTTTTCAAGGTTTCTGAAAATATTAAATTCATATAACACTTTTTTTGCAATGAGTCCGCTGGAGCGCGTTTGCAACATGCACATCCTTGAAATGAGGTTCAGTTCAAAATTGTTATATTTCAGCTAGTTTTCTACCAATTTTGATGAAAATAACACCAAAAGTTGAACAAATTTTCCGGCTTTCAGAAAATGTAACATTCCTATAACACTTTTTGCATTAAGGGGCGCGTTTGCGACATGCACAAAAATTTAGTTGAATTTTTGGGTGAAAAATGTTTTTTTAAAGGAAAGTTTGACGGGAAATGAGTTTCTGAAGACGAAAATTCGGGAATTCTAGCGAAATTCTAGCGAAAATTCGAACTTTCAAGTTCCTAAGAAAAAATTACAAATTTCATTTTTTTTTTCCCTGTGAGCTTCCCTGTAAACCCCCTCCGCTTTCTCTGCCGCCGCGCCCTTTCTATATGCCTTGCGCCTCTCTCTTTTTAAATCGGCTGCGTGGCCTACTGGCTAACGCTCCCTATCCTCAATCTGTCACTCTTTTGTTCGATTCCCCCTCGTCGCCATTTCCTTTTTATTATTTTTTGTAATCTTTTTCAGCACATGAAATCCAGTCCACAAGCTTCTAGCAAATCCCTACAAGTCGCTCTGGAGGACCATGACCAGCATCGTTATGTTGTCGTTTGCTCGGAAAACCGATTTCACTACTCGGTGAAGCACGACTCGGCGTACTGTGGATCCAGGAACGGGACACATTATTGTCAGGCGTTTGCCATTTAAAATTGATAAATTATGGAGATTTTCATGAATTATAATCTAGTTACACTTTGATAAGAGTCATAATAATAATAATAAGACGAGAATAATGAAGATGTGCAAATAATATTTTTTTTGAATTTTTAAAAAAATCAATAATTAAGTCACTTTCTGTAATTCTGGCATCGTATCATCGTCGACCACATTGATGAACTCCTCCTCTTCATCTTGCTTAACATCTTCAACGATGACGTCGTCAACCACAATCATATTCGTCACGTCTACAACTTCAGAAGTCACTATTTCTTCCTCTTCTTTTGACTCCGCCCCCTCTTCGGGCCCCTCAATTCTTGGAATTTTAGGCTCTGATTCTTCTTCTACTTCTCCTGTCACGTCTTCTGAATCCAGCACGTCTTCTTTCGGCTTCTCATTGGACGAATCTCGAACACGGCCGGCCTTCTTAAGACGGTCGTAGCGGACGGTGATGTTTCTGAAATTAGGGGTAACTAGGGGATAATTAGGTAGGACAAAGGGTGAAATTAGGCTGGAAACTATGTTTTTAGCGTGAAATTAGCCTCAAAATCGTGATTTTCAGATTGAAATTAGTCTGAAAATCATGATTTCTAGAATACTTGTAAAATTCCGGGCCGGCCCGGGCCGGGCCTGAAGAAATTTTCAAGGCCCGGGCCCGGTGTCAAAAATTCTGTATTTTTGAGCCAATTTTGAGCTCTCAATATATTTTTTTCCATTTTTTTTTCGTATTTCGGATTGTTTGTCTGTCTGATCAAAAAAGATCGAAAAAACTCGAAAAAAAATTTTTTCATCGAAAAAAATCACATAAGGGTCCCCCCTTATGTGTTTTTTGAAAATTTCGAAACTAGTGAAATGACGGGCCCGCCGGGCCGGGCCGGGCCTCCGAAATTCCGGAAAAAGCCCGGCTCGGCCCGTTACAAGTATGATTTCTAGGGTAAAAATAGGCTTAAAATCGTGATTTTCAGATTGAAATTAGACTGAAAATCATGGATTTTTAGATTAAAATTAAGCTCAAAATCTCAATTTTCTAATTGAAATCATGATATTCAGATGAAAACTAGGCTTAAAATCTTGATTTTTTTTTCCGGTTAAAAGACTCACCTAATATCATTTTTCGACACATATTTCAATTTACAATCGTAATCCTTGTATTCGTTGCGAATAAAGAAGAAAATCTGATCGGACGTCCAATCCAAATCGATCAATTCTCGAACATAGTTCTCCTGGGTCTCGGTAAGCCATAGCAGTTTATGGTCCAGGTCGTGACCGATATGGGTGAAGCAGCCAGTTGCCCAAATGACACCGTCGTCGCCGATTTGGACCTGGAAGTTTGTTTTTCATGATTTTTAGGTTAAAAATTGGGTGAAAATGACGGTTTTTAGAGTAAAATTTGGCTGGGAATCATGATTTTCAAGATAAAATGGGTCGAAAATCATGATCTTCAGGGTGAAATTAAGATGGAAATAATGATTTTTAGGTTAAAAATAGGCAGAAAATCATGATTTTCAGGTCACAATTAGTCTAAAAATCAAGGATTTCTGGGTTGAAAATAGGCTGACAATCGTGATTTTTAGGTCAAGAATAGGCTCAAAATCTTTATTTTAGGTTGAAAATAGGCAGAAAATCATGATTTTTACATCATCATTTGGCTAAAAATCACGGATTTTTGGAATAAAATTTGCTTGAAATATGTTTTTTGGGTAAAATCGAGCTAGAAATATGAATTTTAGGTTAAAAATAGGCTAAAAATCATGAGTTCTAGGTTCAAAACAGGTTTAAAACCTTGATTTTTAGCTTAAACCCCCCTCCCCCCCAAAACCTACCTTCAAATACGCCGTACACGTCTGATCCACTTTTCTCGGATTCGACTTTCTGGATTTGGCGACACTACGGTACTTTCCGACCCGGTGGCAACGATACAGGGTTTCTCCACCGTGTCCAGTTCGTTTGGTGAGCGAGGTGCAGGTGTCCTCTTGCCGCTGATCGAACCATTTCTGAAATTATGAAATTTGCTTTTTCTGAACCGAAAATCCATGAAATTTTGCTCCAATAGATCAATTTTTGCGGAGTGTTTCCTGATTTTTACCAATTTGTGCCCGAGAACTTCAATTTTTTCGCTTTTTCAAGCGCTTTTTCAAGCGCTTTTGGGCTTTTTTCGGAACTTTTCCCCTTTTAAATCAAATGTTTCCCCACCTTAAAATCTTGCATCGTCTCGAAAGCTCTCCTTTCTTGCAAAAACTTCTTTTCCGGTGACTCGTGGTGTTGCTGACAATGATTTATCAGCGAGTCCACTGATTCGGTGGTTACTGGACACTCTGGACACTTCATCTGATTGCCACGTGGCCGGGCGTACGGTCCTTTTCCAGGTGAATGACCGAGAGGGAATTCGAGCTTACGATCGGTGCTGGATAGGATTCGAGGGGGTCTGGAACCGGAAAAATGATCTTTTGAACTCTAGAATTTCAATTTTCAAGCTTTCTCACCTAGGCAATTGATGTTGCTGGATGGGTCGTGCAACCTGGCGATGGGGCGGTCCCATCATACTGTAGCCATGATGATCAGCTGTGGAAGATGATGTGGAGGGCTTCGAATCTTCTGGAACGTCTTCTTCAAAGTCTCGAACCACCTCCTCTGGACCACCGTCGTCAATTATCTCATCTAGAAACATGCCGGTACCAGGATGAGCGTAATTTGGATTTTGAGAGCAGCGCTGCAAATCTCTTCTTTGTTCTAGAACCTTTTCCTTTGAAAATCTCACCTTTTTATGCATCACTAGATGTTTTACACTTCTAAAAAGCACTCTACAACTGGAACAGGCGAATGAGGTCGTGGATTCTCGATTCTTTCGTTCGTTCCGAATCGCTGTGACGAGAGCTTTGCAGTCTTCACTCGTCCACTCGTGAATTTGAGTCATATGACGATAAATGTTCTTTTGAAGGCAGGTTAACGAGCAATCCGGGCATCTGACTTGATCCACAACGAAGGATTCCACTTCGATCGATGTGCCGGACATTTTTTTTAGATTCTTTTTGAGCTGAAAAAATGAATTTTTAGCCTTTTTTTGCTGAAAATTAAAAAAAATGGAGCGAAAATTTTGAAAATTGAATTTTCCGGTTTTTTAATGAATTAAGGTGGAAAACTACAGAAAAATTTGTCGAAAAATGCTGAAAATTGTGTTTTAAAAGGATTTTTACGAAAAAAATCGAAAAAATCTGGAAAAAATGCTAAAAATTGCTGAAAATCCAAAAATTCCGTAGGATTTACGCCCGTAAATCATGTCTGGCACCCGCGTCGCGTGCTCGCGACGCGGTCAGTAACTGCGCTCCACTGCGAAATTCGCATATTTTTCAGCGCTAAATTCACTTTTTCCACTTTTTTCAGCCGTTTTTCAACGTTTTTTTCTCAAATTTTTGTTAAAAAATCATTTTCCAGACCTCTCTGAACACCATGCCGACGTTCAAACTAGAAGATATGGACGAGAATCAGCCGTACGGCGGCGATAACGACATGTACTTTCGGCAGTGGAGATTACCGTCGATGAAGCCAGTTTTGGATGAAAAGTGGGCTATTTTTAGCGAGAAACATGTTTTTATAGCTAGAATTTACAGATTAGACCGAGATTTCCTCGAAGCAGTGGCGAAAAAAGACGAAGCGATGAGAAAACGAGCAGAACGAAGGCAGAAACACAGCGAAAAGTACGATAAAAAGTTTCAAGAGATGGTTAAAGCGATGAGTGAGGCGTCTGTGAAGGAAAAAAGAGGGGAATTTTCGAGAAAACCAATTGAGGAAGAATTGAAACGAGCTAGAGAGGATTTGGAGAGAGAATTCGCATCGCCAAGTTCCACAGCGAGAATGGTACCGTTTAAAGCAAGGTTAGGACGAAAATAAATGAAAAATCCATCGTTATTTTTTTAATTTTCAAAATTTCAGCATTCGACCCCGCCAAAATCCGATTTTCGGCGAAAAGATGGTCTTAATGAAGGATCTGGTGCTCCCACCACCCACGTCATTAGGCTCCGCTCCCCGAGAATCCACTTTTGGAGCTCACGAGACAGTATTCTACCCCCAGACCCACGACTCTTTCAATCTGGACCACTACAATGGGTCTCGCCCCTCCTTCGCGTTTTCCGGAATTCAAGGAGCGACGTCTACGCCGGTTTCGGCGAAAGGAGGCAACTTTTTCAATGGCGGAATTCCAGAAGAGCTGGAAGATAGCGTTTTTGAGTCGTCGAAATATGTAACAGCGATGGAATCGCCGATTCAGAAGGCTGCGGGCGGTCAGAAGACGATGTGGGAGACACCGAAGACTGGAGAGGGGCAGAAGACGACGTCGCTGGGGATTCAGAAGGCTCCAGAAGTGTCTACGACGTCTGTGGAAGCTCCGAAACTGTCAGGATTGTTCCAGAAGTCTGTGGAGACACAGAAGGCGTCAGAAGCCCCTACGACTTCTATGGAGACCCGAAAGCCGCTTGGTATCTTCCAGAAGACTCCAGAACCTTCCAAGGCGACTTCGGAGCCTCAGAAGCCGCTAGGATTCTTTCAGAAACCTGTGGAGGCACAGAAGCCTTCAGAATTCATAACGACAACAACTGAAATTCAGAAGACGTCCCAGAAACCACTAGGATTCTTCCAGAAGCCTTCAGGATTTTTAACGACAACAACTGAAATTCAGAAGACGTCACAGGATCCTATTGGATTCTTCCAGAACCTTCCAGAATCTCCGAAGACGTCTTCGGAGCCTCAGAAGCCGTTGGGATTGTTCCAGAAGGCTGCTCCAGAAATCCAGAGACCAACAGAAGCTCCGAAGCCGCTAGGATTCTTCCAGAGGACTCCAGAAGCTTTTAAGACGTCTTCGGATCCTCAGAAGCCCCTTGAAGCTCAGACGACGACGTCAGGAAGTCTAGGAATTTTCCAGAAGGCTTCTCCAGAAGTCCAGAAGCCGACTGAAACTCAGAAGCCGTTAGGATTCTTCCAGAACCTTCCAGAAGCTTCCAAGACGTCTTCGGAGTCTCAGAAGCCGTTGGGATTGTTCCAGAAGCCTCTAGAAGCTCACACGACGACTGGATTCGGCTCGATTTTGGGACAAAAGCTACAAGCGGAACCAATGAAACCAATGGGATTTTCAGCGCCGTCAAGTATGTTCTAGGCTTGAAAGTTGACTTAAAATGCCTCATTTTCAGCTGGAAAAGCCGCGACATCACCGATTTTTGCCTCCCAAACGGCTCCAGGAACATCAATTTTTGGCCAAAAGTCCTCTCCAGAAGCCCCAAACCCGAATTCTGATGCACCAACCCTTCCAGAACCACCAAAAACAGACGCCGCCTCCTCAAAACCCCCGTCCCAGCCATTCATTTTATTTAAAAACTACATCAACCTTTTAAAAACCCTTCAAGACGAGAAGAAGACGTTCGAAACGTCATCTGACCCTCAATTCCGTTCCCTTTTGAAGAGAACTATCACCGAGAAGGTTACGGTATTCACCGAACGACAGACGTCTTCAGAAGCGAGATCCGAGATTCTGGAGTTTTTCAAAACGATGCTACAGAAGAAACCAGTTGAGGGATTTGCTGTGATTGGGAAGGCGCCGGAAATTAGGCTGGAGAAGGATGAAGAGGTCAATTATGCAGTACACTGTGTCGTGGAGAAGTATATTGTGAGTTTTATGTTTAATGATTTCTGGAAAAAAGGCCTAAATTGTCCTAAAATTGTGCCTAAAATATGCTCTAAAAATAAAATTAAAATTAAGCTTAAATAACCCTGAAATTGGACTAAAAATAGCCTTAAGATTGGCCTATAATTGGCCTATAATCGGCCTAAAATTTGGCCTTAAAATAAAGTTGAAAATTGCCTGAAAATTGCCTGAAATTTTGGCTACGAATTGTCCTTAAAATTAGCCTTAAATTGGTCTAGAATTGGCCTAAAATTGGCCTGAAATTGGCATCAAAATTAGCCTTAAGATTGTTTTTAAAAATGGCCCACGAATAGGCCTGAAATTCGCCTGGAAATCGGCCTAAAACTGGCCCGAAATTAGCCTAAAAATTAATAGAAATTACCTTAGACTTGGCCTCACTACAGGCCTGAAACTAGCCTAAAATGTCTTAAACAAGGCCTAATTGCATCCTTAATCTATCCTTTCTTTCAGTCCCTCGCCGAACTCGATGAAGAATTGGCTCCAACGATATCCGACCTGATTTCCCGTCTCTCTGCTGTCATCCGTCGCGTCGAGAAGGTCTTCATCGTGCTGATGTTCAACAAATCCACGTTGCTTCGTCAGAATCCGAAGGAATGTCTCCAGAAGTTTGTGGAGCACGTAACGGCGGAGAATTCAGATGAGAAGGCGATAGAATGGAATCAGGAGCAGGCGCTTAGCACCCTGTTCTTCACGGTTTTCGCGAAAAGTTAGTTTTTTGAAGGATTCTGAAGACGTCACGTCATCTGAAATGAAATTCCAGACGCCCTCATCTCCACAAAAGGACGTAAAATGGTGCTGAGCGACGAGCTGCTCTGGAAATATGTGGAAACGTCGATTGCTCATGTTCTAGAAGTACCCAAGGCATCGTTCATTTTACTCCAATTGATTACGGTAGGATTAAGGATTACTGTAGTTCCATAACAACAAGAATTTTTTAAAGATATGCAAGCCTCGCCTCTTTGCTGACGAGGATCGATGGATCGATATGCTGGCGACGATCGAATCGGAGATCCTTCCAGAGCTCGAAGCGGATCCGTTCGCTGGCGACGAGGCGGCGATTAGTCAGCTGGCTCAGATGGTTGCTCATCTTTTGGAATAATAATATTTTTATTTTATTTTTTTGGCTTAATTCGTTAATTTTGCTCTTCTTTTGTTCTTTTTTTCTCTCGTCGTCTCTCCTTTTGCAGTACTCTCTCTCTCCCTTTCCCGTTGTTGGTAACTACTACACGAGTATATGTACTATGATTGTTTCTTCGCCCACTGGTCTTTCCTTTAATTTAAATTTATCACTGGAATTTCAAATTTTTTTAGAAACACTAAACTTATTTTTTATCATAATTTTTGGGGGTTTTAGCTGTATAAATAGGCCGAAAATAGGCTTAAATTAGGCTGGAAATAGGCTGAATTTAGCTTGGAATTGGCTTAAAAATAGGTCAAAAAATAGACTTGAAATACATATTATAAGAATAGGCTCTAAAATAGGCTCAAATAGGCCGAAAATAGGCTTAAAAATAGCCTAGAAAGCTGGCTGAAAATAGGCTTGAAATAGGCTAGAGCTTGAAGCTTAGACAGGCTTCAAAATAGGCTTGAATAGAAAGGCTGAAACTAGGTAAAAAATAGGCTTAAAAGTAGGCCTAAATATGTAAAGAATAGGCTTAAATATAGACTAAATTAGGCTTAAAATTGGCTGACAACAGGCTAAAAATATGCTAAAAATGCGCTTAAAATATGCTAGACTCAGGTCAAAAATAGGTTTAAAATAGGCTAGAGCTTGAAGCTTAGAGCTCTAAACTTACTATTAGTGCTTAAAGCTTAGAGCTTAGGGACTAAAACAAAACCGAAAGAAGGACTCAAAATAGGCAACTTTATTATCACAAAAATCAATGAATCCACAAATATTGTCCATTTGGAGCCGCTGGATAGCTCTCTGGTGCAGATGGCCTAGCGTAGTCTTGTGGAGGAGCCGCCTGTGGCGTTGGCTGTGGAGCCGGCGGAGCCTTATTCTGACAATGATGACACGTTCCCGGATTCCCTGGCTCTCCTTTTGGTCCCTGTGGTCCAGGAAGACCCGGATTTCCAGCGTCTCCTCGTGATCCAACCGCTCCACGGACTCCCGGTTGCCCTCCAAGTCCCGGTTTTCCATCGTGTCCCTTACCACCGGCCATTCCACGTGGACCGACCTTTCCTGGTGGTCCCGTTGGTCCGGGTGGGGCTCCATTGAGCACTTTTCCACGATCACCGGTTGGTCCCTTCTCTCCAGATGCTCCTGGTTCTCCACGTACTCCTGGTGGTCCTGGGGGTCCTGGACGGTTGTCCTCTCCAAGGCGGCCTGGTTTGCCTTCGAAACCAGCCGGTCCACGGGGTCCTTTTGGTCCTGCAAAATGTGCTTTATTGATAATATTGGATGGGAACCAGAGACATAACCATGCTTGGGAACAGGGGCCCTGGCGGGCCTTATGATCAATATTGTTGAGCCAACTAAAACAGATATGATAGAAGAACTCAGGAACTACAAAATGATACTACTTGGGTTACTGTATCTTGTCTATGAACGGAGTTACAAGCCAAAACGATCGACCGCGTAGCTGGTATGGTTTTTGGCTTGTAACTTTGTTCATAGACGAGATACAGTATTCCAAGCAACATCGTTTTGTAGCTCTCAAGTTCTTCTATCATAGCCAATTTAGTTGGTCCGAAAATGTTGAACCTAGAAGAAGCTAGACCGCAGAAAACCCTCTAGAACCTTCTCGAACCCTTACCTGGCAATCCTGGTGGCCTGGCGCGCCTGGTGGACACTTCTGACAGGCGTTTGTCCCTGGTGGCGGTGCTGGAAGATATTTCCCGGCCACACCATTATCTCCCTCTCTTCCCGGGAATCCATCTCTTCCTGGTTCTCCATCGTCTCCTGGTGATCCACGTGGACCGGGTGCTCCCTGAGTACAAGCACAGCAGGAACCGGCTGGCGAGGCACCGTAGTTACCATATGGCGACTGACGTTTGGTACGGTTTGGCGCTTGACGGGAGAACTTCATTTGCTTCCAGATGTCTTGGGTTTCGGTCTGCAAAATTTTGATTATTTATTTTCTGAATCCCGTTAATGCTCTTTTAAGCTCAATTATCTCGGTTCCTGTAAGAGATATCAAATATCCAGCAACTGATAAAATGTTTTTCACATTATCACAAGCATTTTGTCAGTTGACAAATTTCTTATATCTCTTACAGGAACCGAGATAATTGTGCTCGAAGTGCACGTGTTGGGTGGGCGTCTGGTGGAGCAGTTACGGTAGCTAGGACATCCGGACTAACCGAAACACCGATTTTCTCATACCTTACACAACTCGACCTCGGTGAGCATCAAAGTGGTCATCTTCTGAACATGATTGTGCATTAAAGGCAGGCCAATGATTACGGTAAGAACTGCAAATGTGGAGACAACACTTCCAAGAATTGTGGACATCCGCCATATGAAGGATGAGGAGTCCATCATGACTGGAAACATAGATTTTTGGGGAATATTCAAAATTTGGAAAATGTTAGTCTAGGAATCCGAAAACATTGCAGAATCTCCTAGAAATCGCGAAAACTGTAATAGATATCGAGAAGTGATCAACTGATAAAATGTTGCTGATATGATGATAAACATTTTATCAGTTGACAGATTTTTGATATCTTTTGAAGGAGCTGAGATAATTGAGCTGATAGTTGATAAACTGAAAGTTGGAAAGGAAATACGGTATTAAAAGTATCAAGAATCTTCTAAGGATCTCCTAGAAAATGATCATTACGGAATGAAAACGAAAATGAGAAAAATCGGAAGAATCGAAAAAAACGAGGTCATCGACCCCATTTTTTTTTCGTTTTACCCGATTTTGTTGATTGATAAGAAGAAGAAAAAGAAGAAGAAGAAGGTAAACCCTAATTTGATGAGATACAGGAAAATTCCGATTGGATAAGAAGACAAAAGAAGAAGTTTCGGGAAGCATGAGATGGGTTTTGTTTGTCCAGATGTCCTTGATTTTTTTTGATTTTCCTGAATTTTTGAAATTCAGAATTTCGGAATTTCTGAATTTCTGATTTCCTGAATTTCTGAATTTCTGAATTTCTGAATTTCTGAATTTCTGAATTTCTGAATTTCTGAATTTCTGAATTTCTGAATTTCTGAATTTCTGAATTCCCGAATTTCTGATTTTTTGAATTTCTGAATTTCTGAATTTCTGAATTCCCGAATTTCTGATTTTTTGAATTTCTGAATTTCTGAATTTCTGAATTCCCGAATTTCTGATTTTTTGAATTTCTAAACTTCAAAAGATCCAAATAGATCCTAAGAGGCCCTAAAAATCCCGAATCCTAAATTGTAAAAAAAAAGTTTCATATGAAAAATTAGCAAAAATTTTTCCAGGATTACTGTACAATGTTCAGGATTAATCTAGATTTTTCAGGGATTACTGTAGATGTTTTTCTATTTGATCAAACTCCAAGAAACCAGTACATATATCCAATCTACATATCATGTTACTTAAGTTATACCAGCTTTTTTCTTTTGTCATTATAATCGCAAGTGTCAATTGATAGCTTGTTTTCTTTCTTCAATAGCGTTCCCTTATCCACAAGAAAACTATACAAAAAAACAAGAAAAACGAGAAATCCTTCTGTTCTCTAAGAAGTATAAAAGTATATCCCCATAAGTTACATTATCCCTATTATCCCTAAAATGCTGAAACTCCTGATTCTTTTATCACTTTGCCACGTGGCATCCTCCCTGTTCTTCCCATCTGTATCCCCTGCTGGCGGCGGATGTGGATGTGGTTGTGGAGGTGGAGGAGGAGGAGGATGTTGTGCGCCACCGCCACCACCACCGTGAGTATTTTTGTAGTTAAAAAATAATGAAAATGAGAATGAGAGAAATTTGAAATCGATTAAGCTAAAAACCATGAAAATCGGATGAAAATGAGCAAAGTTATGAGAGCTTGAAATTAAAGAAGTGGATTTTTTTGAGATGGTGTTTATTGAAGCACTTCTTGAATAGTTTTTAAAATACGATTTTGACAAATTTATACTATTTTTAAAGCTCATTAAATTTTTCACATTTCGATATAAAAATCATGAAAATCGGATGAAAATTAGCAAAGTTATGATATCTTAAAGTTAAAAAAGTGGTTTCTCAGGCTATTTCGAAAAAAACCATTTTTTCAAGAATTATGAACTTTTCCTATTTGACATATTTTAATTCATTTTGAAGTTATTTTAATTTTCTACATTTTGATATAAAAATAATACAGATCGCTTGAATTTCAGCCAAGTTACAGTATGAAATTTCCAGCTTTCTGAAATCAAATCCATTAAAAATGTCAGAAATGAGCCACTATACAACGATTTGAAAATTTTTGTTCAATAGAGCAACTTAGCTCCCTTCTTAGGATCAAATAACCTTCCAGAGTCTGCGGTGGTTGCTGTGGTGGTCGAAAGAAGAGAGAAATCGGTCATGTCAAGGGTCATATAGTGCATCGAGATGAGCAAGAATGGAGCAATCAGTGTAATAGTCAGGAATTTTCAGAGGTCATTCTGAAAGTGAGTTTGAACTTTTTAGTAATGGTAGATCTTTAGAAATGGGTTATTTAGAGCTGAAATTTATAAAAATCGGGTCAAAAAGAGCTGAGTTAGGGTCCCTGGGAGTTCGCAAGCCTGAAGTACCTTAAATGGAGCTGTACCGTTCACTTTGAGCTCAATTATCTCGGGTACTGTAAAAGATATCAAAAAGTAGCCAACTGATAAAATGTTCATTATGATATCACCAACATTTTATTAGTTGACAAATTTTTTATAGCTTTCACAAGAACCAAGATAAACCAGGTCAAAGTCAAGAGATCGGCAACCGAGCTCATCCGGCAAGCGCCGACTTTTCAATTTTGAGCCGAACTGCTCTGAAAGACATCAAAAAGTGATCGATCAACTGATAAAATGTTTATCATAATATCAGCAATATTTTATCAGTTTACAAGTTTTTGATATCTTCATCAGAAACCGAGATAAAATGACCCAAAGTTGGTAGCTTGGATAGCACTCGATGAGAGTGTGTATAAAATGATAAGATTGGTTTTTAAAACAATTCCTGGAACATCATACATATAACAATATTTACATCATTCTGTAGCCCTGAAAATTTCCAACATTTTAAATTTAACAATCTGAAGGATCCCTTAAGAATGAGCAATGATTTCCAGCACATCGAAATGTCCTCCTTGAAATCGAGCCGTGAAGCCATCTACAAAGAACTCGACGCCGCTTATCCAGACTCAATGTTCACCGTGTTTTGTCTGAAAAATTCCACGTCATCGTATCAAGCAGATGCGAAGAGGTACTGTATGGAAAAGAGCAAGGATCGCATGTGCTATGTTTTCGAATTTTAACACTCTGGAAATTTTTTATTATTTTGAAAATTGAACTTATGCACCTAATTTTAATAAATATTTTACATCAATTTTGTTCTGTGTTTATTGAATCTTGAAGTTGAGAGTTCAAATTTTGAACTTTAAAAGTCCAATTCATGTTTTGCAGATTCTGGAAAAGAAGCTGAAATATCAAACTTTAAAATAGAACATTTCAAAATTTCTAAGAAAACCCACACTAACCGTCAACTTTGAGCTCAATTATCTCGCTTCCTATAAGAGATATCATAAAGTGATAAACTGATAAAATGTTGCTGATATCATGGTGAACACTTTATCAGTCGACAAATTTTTAATATCTTTAACGAAAACTGAGATAAATCAACTCAAAGTTGACAGCTATTAAGCCCTTCTATCACAGGTTCCAAGGCTAGCTTTAAGAGCTCATAACTACGGGTCCAATATACCGGTTTTTATTAAATTTGTATTTTTGAATTTGGCAGGTTTTGTAAATTAAAATCATATTAAATTTGACTTGCTTACTTAAAAAATAACAAAAAAACAAGCAGAATACCTATAGTCATTTTTGAAAACAGCTTTCTAGCCGGTGGTGGATCATACTTTTTGAGCCCAATTATCTCGGTTCTTGTGAAAGAAATCAAAAATTTGTCAACTGATAAAATATTGCCGATAATGTCATAAACATTTTATTAGTTTACCATTTTATGATATCTCTTGTGGAAACCGAGATAATGAAGCTCAAACTTTTGAGACCACCTTCCTAGCCGTAGGAGGGTCATATCCTTTGAGCTTAATTATCTCAGCTCCTGTAAAAAATATAAAAAATGGTCAATTAATAAACTATTGCTAATAATGTGATAAACATTTTATTAGTTGACCACTTTTTGATATCTTTCATAGATAATGAGATATATAGGCTCAAAGTCTGGTACCGTGTAGCTCAGCTACTCCTCTCTGCGCTTCTATTGGAATTATAATTCAACCACTTTTAAGGACTAATTCTAAGAACTAGAATCATTTTCAGAGTAGATGTTTAGAGTTTTCTTTTTTAGAACATTCCAAAAAACTCTAAAAACCAAAACTGGCTATTCCGAATTTGCATAAATGAACACATATATCTGCTATGCATACATAAATACCTACATACATATATAAACACAGAATCTCCCTCTTCTTTCACTTCTAACCTTCCCTTCCCCGCAATCGCTATATATTCCCGTCTCTCTCCCTAACACCCTCTTCCCCTTCCACACTCTCTCGCCTCCGTCGCAAACATTCATCTCTTTTCTCTGCGTCTCTTCTACGCCCCATACTGCCTTGCCATCCGTTTCTGATGCATTTCTGTGTCCGTTTTTACACTGGCACTGCACCACACTGGCAGAGAAAACGGAAAAAGAAGAAGAAGACGAATTTTGTGTTGTATTGTGAGCTCTGAGCTCTCCTCCTACGCAGAAGATATTGCCAATGGGAAATCTGTTTCGAAATTCTGATTTTTATCGATTTTTTTTTGGCTTAAATTGCTTTAAATTAGTCCTAAATTTAAATAATTGTTGTGGAATTTTCAGGGTTTTTTTTCTGTTTTTTTTTTCAATATTTCCCGGATTATTTTGACCTTATAATCTTTAAAATTCGTCTAGTTTCATTTTTCCAGCCATGTCAACACTGGGTCGTAGTAAGACCCCTCAACGGGACGATACCAACAAAAAACCAAGTGTTTTTGAGAAACTTTCTGGAACATTGTCCAGAAAGAAGAAGATTCCAGAAGATGGAGAGCATGATGGACCAGCTGGAGGACATGCTGGACAACACACTGAGGAGGATGAGGTTTTGGAGGTAATTTTGAATTTTTCTTGGATTTAAATTCGCTGAGTTTTAAGGTTAAGATCTTTGAAATTGGTGCAAAATGAAGGAAGTTAGATTGGATCAAACTTTGAGCCTCAAAGATTAAAAAATAGATGCTTTTCAGATTTTTCAAGTTCTCACAACGCTTAATTAGAAATAGTTTTAGAAGATTAAATACATTTTAAAGCCCTTGAAATCCCCTTCACTTTAAAATAAAAATCTCAAAATTCGGGCCAATTCTAGCCGAGTTATAAAGGTTCAAAGTTGTAAGACAGTTTTTTGAGTGGTGCTTTGAGATTTACCGAAATTTCAAATTTTATCAAGAAAAATGTTTAAACACTTTTACATATTCAAATAGTTCTGGAAATTTCCTTCAGTTTGATACAAAAATCTTAAAATTTAGGCTTTTTTGAGCCGAGTTATAACGCTTTAAAGTTGTAAGACTCGAGTTTTTGAGCGCTTTTCAGATTTATCAAAATTTCAAATTTTATCAAAAAGCTCATTTAGGCAATTTTTAACAATTGAAAATTTTTTCAAATGTCCCTTATTTTGAATCAACAATTTTAAAATTTGAGCTTATTTGAGCCGAGTTATGATGCTTCAAAGTTGTAAGCCAATATTTTTTGGGCGCTTTTGAGATTAGACGAATATTCAACTTTATCAAATAGTTTGTTTAAGCAATTTTTAATGTTTTAAAAGTTTAAAAAATTTCCTTCATTTTGAAATAAAAATCTCAAAATTTGGACTTATTTGAGCCGAGTTATAAAGATTTGAAATTCGATTTCTCCTTGAAAAGCTGGTAATAGAAGGGCCCACTTTGAGCCAATTCAACTTTTAACTTTGAGCCAATTTATCTCGGTTCATGTGAAAGATATGAAAAAATTGTCAACTAATAAATTGTTTATCATAATATCACTAATATGTGATCAGCTGACCCATTTTTGATAACTGTTACAGTAACCGAGATAAATGAGCTTTAAGTTAGCGGTCTAGGCGGGCTTCTACTAGAAGAAATACGCTAGCTGTAACTTTTCTCATTTTCAACCGATTTTTATGATTTTTGTATCCGAAAAAGGTAAAAAAAAAGATTTAATCCAAGTTATGCGCCTTTAAACCCAAAATCTATAATTTTCAGCTCGAGCTCGAAGGACGCGAAGCACTTGACTCGTCGCTGGTTCCAGTACTGGCCAAGAATATCTGGCTGGAAGAAAGTAATCTAATAATTAAAAAAACCTTAATTACCCTCAAACTTTTCAGGCGAGACCCGCCGCTACCTGACTAAAGAAACCGCCCGTGACCAGAAGTTGGGACAAGTCGTCGATTTGCTCATTTACTGGCTCAATGACGAGTTGGCTGATCAAAGAATCGTCGTTCGTCACATCCAGGAGGATCTTTTTGATGGCCAGATTATTCAGAAGCTTTTGGAAAAGTTGGAACAGATTCGGGTGAGAAATTTGGCGGGAATTTGAAGTTTTGAATCTTTTATTTTCAGATCGAAGTTCCAGAAGTGTCCCAATCGGAGGAGGGACAACGTCAGAAGCTTCAAATTGTCATTCAAACAGCTAATAGAATTTTGGGGCAACCCAGAGATCAGGAGAAGTGGTCCGCTGATTTGATTCATCAGAAGGTAAGCAAATGTGCTCTATTGAAATGCTTTTAGCTCAAAAGATTGCTAACTTTAGAAGGCTCAAGATCATATGCAATTTGTAGAACATCCCTAAAAGTACTGTAATTTTAAAGCTCCATAACATTGCTCATTTTTATTCGATTGATATGATTTTTAGTGTGTAAAATAGGAAATTTTAAGAGCTACACAACCAAATTTAATTTTTAAAACCTTAAAATGGTATGCCATTTGTAATACATCCCAAAAAGTACTGTGATTTTTTCAAAAAAAAACCGCACTAGTTTCAAAGTCTCATAACATTGCTCAGTTTTATCTGATTTCAATAAATTTTATTTCAAAACATAGCAAATTTGAAGAGCTACCCAACGATATCTAACTCATCAATTATCAAATTATCAAAAATCAAATTACAGGACTTCACCGCCATCATCCAACTACTCGTGCTCATCGCTCTTCACTATCGCGCTCCAATCCGCTTCCCAGACAACGTGGTAGCCAATGTTGTAGTTGCTCAAAAGGAGCACGGACAAGTGAAAACGCATCGAATCACGGAGCAAATCACGACTGTCCAAACCGAGCTCGCACCAAAAGGAACCCGCGATGCCTTCGATACACTTTTCGACTACGGACCCGACAAGTTGGCTCATGTGAAGACGTCGCTTTTGGCGTTCTGTAATAAGCATTTGAATAAGATCAATCTAGAAGTCTCGGATTTGGATTATCAATTCCAGGATGGTGTATTCTTGGTGCTTCTTGTTGGTCTCTTGGAGGGATACTTCGTCCCGCTGTACCATTTCAATTTGCAAGTTCATGGACACGAGGAGAAGGTCAAGAATGTGCAATTTGCGTTTAAGTTGATGGAAGATGCTGGATTGGAGAAGCCAAGAAGTCGTGTTCAGGATATTGCCAATGGAGATGTTAAGGTTTGTAGGAGACCGGAAAGGGGGGGGGCAAAGTTGGGGGCGTGGCCTAGCAACAGAGAATCCAATGCTTGAACTTTGAGCTCAATTATCTCGGTTCCTATAAAAGATATCAACAATTTGTAAACTGAAAAATATTTATCATAATATCAGCAACATTTCACCAGTTGACAAATTTTTGATATCTCCTACAGTAACCGAGATAATTGAGCTCATAGAAGGAACTGTATTTTCTCTAAAAGAAGCCCATTATATTTGAACTCAATTATCTCGGTTCCTTCAACAGATATCAAAAAGTGATTAACTGATAAAATGTCGGTGATTCTATGATAAATATTTTATTAGTTAAAATTTTTCTGATACCTCTTACAGTAATCAAGATAGTTGAGCTCAAAGTGCGGTTGCTGTAAATTGGCTCATTTTCGACATTTTCATATAGATTTTGAAAGAGTTGCAGTTTTTCTAAATTTTGGAATCGATTTTTTTAAATTTTATGTTTATTTTAATGCTTTGAAACTTCCAACATTTTGAGTCAAAATCTATCAAAAACTGCCACAAATGAGCCAAGTTACAGATACCTTGTTTGCTCTAATAGAAGCTCATCCAATACTAGAACTTTGAGCTCAATTATCTTGGTTCCTGTAAGAGATATCAAAAAGTAATCAACTGAAAAATTGTTTATCATAATATCAGCAACATTTTATCAGTTGACCACTTTTTGATATCTTTCACAGTAAACGAGATGATCGAGCTTGAAGTTCAAGTATTGGGTGAGCTTCTATTGGAGTAAGTACAGTTGCTGTAACTTGGCTCATTTTTGACATTCTGAAAGTATTCCATTTTTCTGTATTTCAAAATTGCTTTTTCTACTTTTTGGAATCAATTACTGGTCCTAAAATTTTAAAAATTTTGAGCCAACGTCTATGTAAAAATGTCAAAAATGAGCCAATTTACAGCAACCGCACTTTGAGCTCAATTATCTTGGTTACTGTAAGAGGTATTAAAAATCTTTCAACTAAAAAAAAATTGCTGATATTATGATAAATATTTTAACAGATGACCAGTTTTTGATAACTATTATAGTAATTGAGATAATTGAGCTCAAAGTGCACCTATAACCTGGTCTTCTATTAGAGCAAGGTGCTTCCAGGGAGGTTGGACATCCGGACATTTCGGAAAAACAGACATCCCTACGACTTTATTTTTAAATTTCTAGAAAAAATCCAATTCTTTCAGAGCACCCTCCGACTTCTCCACTTGCTCTTCACCAAATACAAGCACATCTAAAAATGCCTTAATTTTCCTAAAAAATGTGTTTTCTTGCTCAAATCTAATGGTGCTCGCTTTAAACTTTTCCAAATATCGGACCAAAAAATTTTGCATTTTATGCATTTTTACTATAAATTGAAATGATAAAATCAATAAATTGCTTCTGGAAAAAATATTTTATTTATAGCTACTACTCGGGGTACATTTTACAAATTATGGGGGGAAATTCGAAAGTTACATGCAAAAGTTCTTGCACTCGTTGTAGGTGGCAAAATTGTTGGCGTTTCCGTCGCGGCCGTAGAATGTGAACAACATGCAGTTTTTGTAGTTCTTCGAAAAGAAATATCTGGAAAATTGGGGATTTTTTAAGTCTGAAATGGTTGAAAAATGATGAGTTTGAGTTTTTAAGCTCAAAAATTCATTTTTAAGGCATTTTTTACCTTGGCGTATGCTTTCCACTGGATCCAAACTTCCCGGCGTCGTACTGTAGGCCACAGGTGTATTCTGAAAATTTATAGATTTGAAATTAACCAGGTTTGGACGCGTCGCGTGCCGGCGGCGCGGTCGCCGGCTGAGTGGCGGCTCTAGACATACTGCTTTGTTTGAGCTGAATTATCTCGGCTCCTATAGGAGATATCAAAAAAGTTTAAACTAATAAAATATTGCTGATATTATGATGAACATTTTATTAGTTGACAACTTTTTTCTATCTTCAAAAAAAACTGAGATAAATTGGCTCAAAGTGAGGGGACCCTTCTATAACAGGTTTTACGGCCCATTCCCCATGTTTCTTGCGTAAATAAAAGCTGTGTTTTCAAACTTTTTTGCTACTTTAGAAAAGTTCAATTAGGGACTGAAATATATGTCCCACTGTGTTGTTTGGGCGCGATCTTTGAGAAGAATGTTTAAAGGTTCGGGGGAAGACTAGGCAAATATTGAATCTAAAATTGTTCCCTAAAAATGTTGAGGTTGATTTTTTGGGCATTTTTAAACTGCTCAGAATTAGGAAATTTTTTTAGATGTTTTAAAATTTGAACGCTCAATGTCAACCAAATCAATTTTCAGATGATAAATTATCCGATTTTAAGGTTTCCATGGATTTGAACTACCGTAAAACAGAAGATCCCAAAAGTGGCTCTAGGTATTATTCTTGTTTTTTTTATTTTTTCAAAGTAATTAGGTCAAATTTATTATGATTCTGATCTACAAAATTCGTCAATTCCAAAAGTATAAGTTTCATAAAAATCGGTCCACTGGACCCGGAGTTATGAGCCCTTAAAGATAGTCTTGGAATCTATAATAGGAGGGACACTAACTTTAAACTTTGAGCCAATTTATCTCATTACCTGTGCAAGATATCAAATATTTGTTAACTGATGAATTATAGCTGACTTCAAGATAAACATCTTATCAATTGACCACTTTTTGATATCTCTTACAGCGACCCAGATAAACTGATTTTAAATTAGAGGTTGGATATTGTAGATCAGTCTAAACCCCCACTTCTATCCATCAACTTGGAGCCAATTGAGCCAATTTATCTCGGTCCCTGTAAGAGGTATTAAAATGCGGTCAACTGATAAAATGCTGCTGATACTATGATTAACATGAAAATTTATCATTAAATCCCAATTTTCCGGACAACCGGACAAACCGACAAACCTCTAGTTGGACAGCACTGTCCATCCTGAACCTCATATCCATGTGGGCAATTGTTTCCAGTCACAGCCTGCCCAGATGTGGCTCCAGCTGGGTAGGCTCCAGATGCACAGACTTCTGAAGAATAGTTAGATGTGCAGGTTTTCGAAAAATCCTGTCTTACTGTACTCTAGATCTCCAGCAGCTGTGGCATTTCGGCACGTGGATTCGCATGCTTCCTTGGATGGGAATCGGTTTCCATTTCCATCGCAACCCTGGGATTTTTGGATTTGGCGGGGATTTGAAATTTGGATTTTGTTGTTCATAAATGAGAACAGCATGGCTAATATGTTTTGATCTAGAGAACTATAGATATGGCGGTAATTTGAAATTTTCGATTTTTGAAAATAAAAGTTCACCTAAGCCGTCAACTTTGAGCTTAATTATCTCGGTTTCTTTAAAAGATACCAAAGTTTTGTCAACTGATAAAATGTTTATCATATTATCAGAAATATTTTATCAGTTGACAATTTATTGATATCTCTAATGGGAGCCGTGATAATGGACCACCAAGGAAAAATTTCTATAATTCAAATTTTCTACAACTTTTGTGTACCATCAGAAAGCTCTTAAAATTTTCTACAAAACTATGTATGTTTAATATTTCTAGCTCCTATTTGAAGCAAGTTATGCGCTTTTAAACACCTAGAGAGACGCAGAGAAACGAGAGTGCTCTCGTCGTCTGGCGCTCTTTAACAACAGACTTTGAGCACAATTATCTCGCTTCCTATAAGAGATATCAAAGAATTGTAAACTGATAAATTGTTTATCACTTTATCATCTCTATTTTATCAGTTGATAGATTTTTGATATCTTTTACAGGAAGTGAGATAATTAAGCTCAAAGTTGCGAGGCCCAAAAAAAAAACTACATACCTGATAAAAGAATGGTTGACAGGTCCTCGTATTCTTATGGAAATAGAAACTTCTGACTCCTTGCTCTCCACACCCAGTATTCCCTGGCTCTCTTCCAAGGAAACAATCGGAATTTTCAGCGGCCAGTGAAATTCCAGCCAAAATGGAGAATAGCACAATTTGGAGCATTCTGGAAAATGACAAATTCTTTGAGGAAACCAAATTTTGGCCAATTTCTTTTATACAGTTACAAGAAGGTAAATACCACCTACAAATTTTTTTGTTGGTCAAATAGCGGGGAAAAAAGAACAAATAAGAATCAAAAGTTCTTTTCGAAAGTTCCGTCCCACACCCCGATTTTTGGTGTTTTTGGAATTCAAAAAGGGTACTGAAAAATATAGAATGTTTGGCTGAAAATTTTTGGCTGAAAATTTTTTTCTGAAAATTCTGCGCAAACTGCCTTAACAATTGAAGGGGGAAAAAGAGAAAACAGAGGGGAAATTGGAGATAAAAGGGACAACAGGGGGGGAGTGGAACTGGTTTCTTTTGAATTGAATTGAGATTGTCTTCTTCTTTTTTATAACGATCGACGGTTCTTGAGGAAGAAGAAGAGAGTGATTTGTTGATAAAAAAGAAGGTAGTTGTTTGCGTGATTATAGGGAGAAATCAATTAATTAAATGGTTAATTAGTTAATTGATCAATTAAATCTGATTCTGGAGAAACAATTGAGTTTCAGGTGTTCAAAGATTATTTATTTTAAAGTTCTAATTTCATAAAACTATACATTTAATTTTCAGTCAATCTTTTATCATGTTAGGCAATTTGAAAAAAATATTTTTTTTTTGAAAATTCAAAATCCAGCCTACTATATCTGTCTGTAAACTTTTTTGATATTTCTTACAGAAATCAAGATAATTAAGCTAAAAGTCTGTCGCTAGAGAGCGCGCGACGAAGAGAGCACTCTCGTTTCTCTGCGTCTCTCTAGCTGTTTAAAGGCGCATAACTTGCTTCAAATTGGAGCTAGAAAAATGAAATCTGAAATGTTTTGCAGGAAATTTTAAGAGCTTTTTGATGGTATACAAAAGTTGTAAAAAATTTGAATTATAAATTTTGAAATTTCGTTTTCTCTATTTTTTTCTTCGTGATCAATTATCTCTGCTCCTGTGAGAGATATCAAAAAGTGATAAACTGATAAAATGTTGCTAATATTATGACAAACATTTAATCAGTTGATCACTTTGTGAAATCTCTTATAAGAACTGAGATAATTGAGCTCAAAGTTAATTGTGGGGGCCATCTCACTCTGTTGTCTAAATAAAAGGATTTTGAAAATAAAATTTATTAAAATAAGCAAAACCAAAAATTGAAAAAAAAAGAATGAGACGAATATTATGAGATTAGGCAAAAAAGTTTTAAAGAAACTTTTAGGAAAAAAAAAACGAGATGTGACCTGAAAGGCCCTCATAGAGGAGCATATTTCAGCACAGGAGCAAGTACAATTGGCAGTTTCGCAAGCTGGATTCTGGTGAATATATTTAGATTAATGATAAAAAGATAAAGAAATTAAAAAAGAATTAGCATCTCTCTTGGATCTCTCCCTCCTTGAGTCCCAAGCATTTTCCCCACTCCTTGATGGAGATGTTTCCGTCGTTGTTGGCATCGCATCCCTCGAGGAATGGTTTGATGCAGGACTCCATTGGGATGACTGGAGCGGTGATTGGGATCAATTCGTGGTGGGAGACGGACTGGAAATTTAAAAATGGTTGGAATAGTGAAAGTTTGCTCTACTGGACAACTGGACTTTTGGGAATAAAGCTAGATTTTAGAGCATCTAAAATAAGTTAGCCGTTCAAATCTTCATTCACCTTTGTATATCATCAGAAAGCTCTTAAAATCTCTTACGGAACTATGCAGATTTCACTTTTCTAGCTCCAATTCAAAACAAGTTTTGCGCCTTTAAACATCTTAAGAGACGCAGAGAAACGAGAGTGCTCTCTCGCTCCCTCGCGCTCTCTAGCGACAGACTTTGAGCTTGATTATCTCGCTTCCTGTGAAAGATAGCAAAAGGCGGTCAACTGATAAAATATTGGTGATATTATGGTAAACAATTTATTAGTTGATGCTTTTTTGATATCTCCCACAGGAACCGAGATAACTTGGGTTGAAGTGTGTGAACGGTCATAAAGGGGGTTAACGGTCATTTGAGCCGTTTGCGACCCGTTCTTGATCCGTTTCTTATCAATTTTTGAGATTTTATTATCAGTTAGTTGTGACAGGTTAAATCTACATTAGGCGCGGGTTGCTCTACTCCTAATGGCCCAATTATGCTAATGTTTGCACTAGGATGTTGCAACTTGTCCAAATCTCTTTAAAATCTCTTCAAACCGCCTAAAAATTGCTTAAAAATCAATGAAAATAGCTGAAAATCGTTTATAATCGCTGAAAATCTCTTAAAAATTGCAAATTCGCTCTACTGGACCCAAACCCTTACGGCAAGTGCCTTACCTTGTCATGTGGCTTGGTATCAAGCTCGCAGAACTTCCAGATGACTGGGTACACGTGCTTCTTCTCGTCGTCGTTCTCGGCTTCGGAAAGGAGCTCCTCCCACTCGAGCTTGTGAAGCTCACGTCTCTTCTTCAACTCCTTCATGACCTGGAACAACCAATCGGCCATACGCTCTGGGAACTGAGCCATGTGCTCCTCGGTGCACTCGTCCAACTTCTTGCACTCTCCCAAGTATTCCAAATGGACCTTGGCGTTGGTGGCCTTGACGCATTCCTTGGACTTTCTCTTGCAGAGGCATCTCTCACGGTAGAGGTCGCAGAGGGAGGTGAAGGTCTGGTTGTTGTTGGCGCAAACCTTGTCCATCGGGTCTCCGTCGAGTTCTGGGCACTTGGAAATGCACTCACAGGTTGGCTCTCCCTTCTTTCCGACGACACATTCCTTTCCCCATCCGCACTGATGGTCCTCACATGGGTTCTTGGCTGGTTCTACTGGAAAATTTGATATTGATTGATGATAAGGCTAAGTTGAGTGCTAGAAAAAGATTCAAGAAGTTAGAAGCCAACGATTCAGAATCAGCACAAGTTTCGATTTTTTAAGTGGACTACACTTTGAGCTCAATTATCTCGCTTTCTTTAAAAGATATCAAAAATGTGTCAATTAATAAAATGTTGGTGATATTATGATAAACAATTTTTCAGATGACAAATTTTTGATATCTCTTTCGGTAAACGAGATAACTGAGCTCAAAGTCTCTCGCTGGAGCGCGAAAGGGCGCCAGACGACAAGAGCACTCTCGTTTCTCTGCGTCTCTCAAGATGTTGAAAACGGAAATAACTTGCTTCAAAGTAGGACTAGAAAAATGAAACCTGCATAGTTTTACAGAAGATTTTAATAGCTTTCTGATGGTATACAAAAGTTGTAGAAAATTTGAATTATAGAAATTTTTTCTTGGTGATCAATTATCACGGCTTCTATTAAAAATATCAAAAAATTGTTAACAGATAAAATATTTCTGATAATATGATAAACATTTTATCAGTTGACAAAATTTTGGTATCTTTTAAAGAAACCGAGATAATTAAGCTCGAAGTTGATCAGCAACGCGGTTGTGAAGCTCAGACTAGTTGACTCACCTTCCATCTACCGTAACCTTTTGAGCTCAATTATTTTAATTCCTCTAAGAGGTATCAAAAATATGTCAACTAATAAAATATGGGTGATATTATAACAAGCATTTTATCAGTTGAAACACTTTCTGATAGCTTTCACAGGGACCTAGATAAACTGACTCAAAGTTGACGGTCTGGGTGGCTCTCTACTAGAGGGTTTACGGTATTTTATGGTATATCTTAGGACTAAATGCACCAATTTCGAGAATTGCTACATTTTTGGAATCAGAAAAACTTCAGCTTCCTAATCCACCAAGTTAGACCTAAACGTTCTTTGCTCAGATATCCGTCTGAAGTTCCTACTCTTATCTTCTCCTCCATCTAGTTCAGGTTCCTCTATCGCTGTGTAAACCTTCATTCCAAAAAAACCCCATTACCACATCTTCTTCTTCTCCATGCCTTCCGATCACCTATCCTCCCTCAGAATCCCCGTCCCATAAATATTAGTGCTCTTTTGCTGAGCTCTCGCCGAGCCCGCGCCGCAAAATGCTCTTCTTGCCGATATTACACCGGACACATGACGTGGAATCTTCAAAGCTCGTCTTCTTCTTCTTCCTCTTCTCTAGAGCTCACTTTACACAGTTCGGCTTCTGTGGGCCAAGAAAATAGTATAGAGAAAAGAAAGTTGAAGAAGAAGATGCAACAAGATTGATCGGACGGGGGGAATCGCGGGAGGAAGAAGAAGACACAGGGACTTTATGAATCATTTTGAAATATTTTTAAATGAAAGAAGAGGTGTACACTATGGAAGATGATTGATTATAATTGATTAGGCTCTCGGCAGGAGCCACGGAAGTGAGAAGTGCGAAATGAGATCAGTAGGAGAGGATCTGCTTTTATAGAATGCCCTGAAGCCCCCAATTTTTTTGGGATTATATGCTTCTAAGGCTTCGCTAGCTAGGTTTCAATGATTTCATATCTTTAATACCTCAGCTTGGATGTTCTTGAGTCCTCATGAAGCCTCTAAAACCGCAAAAGTCACGTTCCCAATATCTAAGAAGTTCCTAAGTCCGTATGAAGCCTCAGATAGAAACTGTGATGTCCTGAACCCTTCTTATGATGTTCTTAAGCCCTCATGAAACCTTTGATGAGAGATCCTGAGCCCCAAACCACAAAGAGTTAGCATAAAGGAACTCACCACTCTTCTTCTCCTCATCAGCATCGATGTTGTCGAGCAACTCTCCGAGCTCATCATCAGCGACCTTCTTCTTCTGGAAATTTCAATTTTAGAGAGTTAGCTAGGCTATCTAGGTCTTCTAAGCTTGGCTACTCTATAACTTTGAGACTTTTAAGCTTCTGAAAGTTGGCTTAGATTAGTTGGCTTAGCCCAGGCTTCTTAGGCTAAGCTAATCTAGAAGTTTAGGACTTTTAAGCAAGTCTAGACACATACCTTGGCGTCAACAAACGACGATGCTGCCAGAAGCAGGAGACAAGCGGCGAGAGCGTAACGCATCTCGGACGTGGCGAATGAAGGGAGTCCCTCAGCATAGAGGAGCCAAGGCGAGAGGGGCGGAGCTTAGGGAGAAGAGAAGAGTTGATGAATCATTTGGGGAGGGACCTGGCACAATGTTGCACAATCTTCAGAGCCTGTCACAGATAAGACGATGGAAAGTGCAATTGATTGGTCAGATGGATCGGAGGAGCATCTGGAGAAAGAGAACAATCCCTTTTGACAGTTATTAATTGGATTGGGCAATAGTCTAGATGCACTTTTCGTGGAAATGGGTCAAAGAATAATGAACTTGGGTTCTGTGAAGGGCAACGGCAAGCCTTTAAAACTTTTAAACCTGTAAAGTTTGAGCTCAATTATCTCATTTCCTATACAAGATATCAAAAATTTGTCGACTGATAAAATTTTTACCATTTTATCACTAATATTTTATCAGTTGAAAGTTTTTTGGTATCTTTCATAGGAAACGAGATAATTAAGCTCAAAGGTAGTTACAATTAGGAAAGCGTGCCCCCTCCCTTCAGCTGATAGACTGACGCTTTTTGTTCAAGTTCAATTATCTGGATACCTGAAAGAGTTATCAAAATTTTGCTAGCTACGGAAATGTGTAAAATTATACAACAAACATTTTTTTAGTTAACAGGTTTTTGATATCTTTACTGGGAACCGAGATAATTGAACTCAAAAAGCACGTATGGGATAATCAAGGTGTACCCCTCTACCTTCCTGTGATAGACGGAAGCGTTCAGTTTGACCTCAATTATCTGGGTACCCGTGAGAGATATCAAAATGTTGTCAACTAATGGAATGTGTAAAATTTCATGAGAAACATTTTTCTAGTTGACAATTTTTCGATATCTTCACTGGGAACCGAGATAATGAAGCTAGAAGTGAAACTCCCCAGAATTTAATTAAATCCAATTTTGAGTTCATCCTTCTGCTTTAAATGCTACTAATTTTTAATTATGCATACACTTTACTACGGTGTATACAAACTTTAAATTCTATGATCTATTTTTATGATCCGACATAAAAAGTGCTCATTGACCCCCCGACGATTTGATATTTCTGGCTCTTTCATCTTCTTCATCTTCTTCACTTGCTGCTGCCAGATGTATGTCCATAGAGATTGTGTTTTGTTTTGAGCCAGATTATTGGGTTTTCTAAAAGGTTCTAGACATTCTGAAAAATCCTGGGGATTGAAAAAAAAAGTTGGTTAGCCAAGAACAAGCTTTCTTCGAATTTCAGATACTGTATATGCTCTCAAGGAAATCACCTAACTAGGAGCCTATATATTTCATTTCCTGTTAAAGATATCAAAAATGTGTCAACTAATAAAATGTAGCTGATATTAAGATAAACAATTTATCAGTTGACAACTTTTTGATATCTTGAACAGGAATCGAGATAAATGGGCTCAAAGTCAGTAGCTTAGCTGGTATCTACGTTGCAACCTTAATAGTTCGCTAACAAGTTCAACTTTTTGAGAAGCTTCTGATCTACGACTCTGAACCAGGGAATCTGACCTATCCCCTCTCATTTTTTGCACATTATTACAGTTGACCGCTATTAGATTTCATTCGTACTAACCAACAGCTGCCCGTCAGTACACATTCCCTCCTGTCGGCGTTTCTTTTTTGTTTACTGAATCCAACCCGAAACTTTTTTTCTAGTTTTTTCATAGGACACTTTATATAAGTTGCACTTTCCATCAAGATTTTTGAGCAGTACCCCAGTCGAGTCGACCCTTTGGGGTCAGTCGGAGGAAGGAATGGGAAGACAGCTGCCGAGAAGATTCCTCAGAAGAGAATTGGAGGGGAGTTGTTTAAAGAAGGGATGGGGCAGGCAAAAGATGATGACTATGACTATGACAGCTGTTGAAAAGGGTCGAGGATGGAGAAGAAAAGTTTGTACAACTTACTTGGGGAATGCTGTCAAGTTTTTGGATGTATTAATGGAGAAGAGGAGTTGAGGGGATAGTTGAAATTGGGATGCCAAATGAAACAATTTCTAAAAATGTCACTAGAGATTTTCAAATTGATCTAGCATTTTTTAAATAGGTGCCAAGTAAAAATTAATTTTGGTTCCAGAATATTACAGTAAGCTTCTGAAAATCCCAGAAGATTTTAAAGGCATTTGGAGCCCATCCGGAGGGTCAACTTTGAGCTTATATATCTCATTTGCTGTAAACGATATCAAAAAATAATCAACTGATAAGATATTGGTGATGTTTTGACAAACATTTTATCAGTTGACAGATTTTTATTATCTCTTCTAGAAATTGAGATAATTGAGGTCAAAGTTGGAATAGGATCCGCTTCTATTAGAGTGCTTCTATTAGTGGCTTCTGTAGACTCCAGAGAGTGTCCGAAGATTTCAGAATATTTTAGAAGACCATTTTAAGTCAAAGTTCGACTATTTCAATCCTAATCTCGATCATTTATAGGGTAATTCGAGCTATTTTTAGCCGATTTGGAGCCATTTTATAAGGGTAAAATTACAATTTCCATTCAGACTCAATTTTTTTCATTTCTTTTGTACGATATCAAAAATGATAAAAATATTGTTAAACTTCCAATTTTCTCTAACTTTCTTCAGCTACCGTAATACTAACAAAATGTCATCCAAAACAGTCCACTTTGAGCTTAATTATCTCGCTTACCGTGAGAGATATCAACAATTTGTCAACTGATAAAATGTTTATCATAATATCACCTATATTTTTTCAGTTGACAAAATTTTCATATCTCTAATGGGAGCCGTGATAATTGACCACGAGGAAATATTTCAGAAAATAAAATTTCGAGTTTTATAATTTTAATTTTCTACAACTTTTGTAAAACATCAGAAAGCTCTCAAAACTTCCTACAAAACTACGCAGATTTTCATTATTCTAGCTTCAATTTGAAGCGAGTTATGCGCCTTTAAACATCTGGAGAGACGCAGAGAAACGAGAGTGCTCTCGTCGTCTCGCGCTCACCAGCGACAGGCTATGATTTGAGCTCAAATATATCGGTTTCTGAGCGAGATATCAAAAAGTTGCCAACTGATAAAATGTTAGTGATGTTATGAAAAATATTTTATCAGTTGACAAACTTTTTATATCTCTCACAGGAACCGAGATAATTGAGTTCAAAGTTGATTGACGGTTTGGGTGGGCCTCCGACTATTACAGGTTCAAGGGATTTGAATCTTGAACTTCATATCTAAATTAAATGCTGAAATTGTGTCAACTATAACATAAAGTTCCAAAAAATCTCTCTTCATCATTTACACAAAAGAGTACAATAAAATAAGATCAGCGGTTTCCATTCTTCATAAGCTCTTAATCCTTCGAAGGAACACTATGCATCCGGTGCTGGCGGTGGAGCTGCTCCAGATTCAGAAGCTTCACTCTTCGGCGGACCGCCTTTCTTGTTCTTCTTGCCGCACATCAGAATCATCGCTAAAAAACGGGAGTTAGCGTTAGAGCGAATTTGTCTAAAACTCACTAGTACTAATTATCACATAGAGAATTAGCATAATTTCTGGAACCGGGGTTTGGAGGTGGCTGACCAGTGGTAGCTTGGTGGAATAAATTGGTTACTGGCAGTTTTTGATGTCATGTGGAACTTTAATTTTTTTTTCTTAACCGAAAAAAATTAACCCGCGTAAACTTCATCCTTATCACTAACGATCTAAGCTCCGCCCACTTCCTTCCCTATAAATTCTGCTGGAAATCCTTCAAATCAGTTAATCCTCGCATTTCCAGTTTTCTGCAGTTTCAGCATATGCACTATTCTGAACATTTTCAAATGAAAGAATTCGTCTATCTATTCGCCATGATAGTCACGCTGATAAGTGAGTTTTGAAAGGGGATATCTCTAGAACTACGGTAGCTAACAAAAATTTGTAAATTACAAAAATGTGTAATATTTTAAGCTGAGCAATTTTTTAGTTGACTGCTTTTTGATAGCTTGCTTAGTTCTTGAGATATGAGCGATCGCCTACAACAGACCATTCCAGTGGCCTCTCTACTCCTCCCACAATCTTTAAAAGCGTGTATCTCAAAAACTAGCGTAGCTATCAAAAAGTTGTAAATTAAAAAAATGTATAACATGTAAAGCTGAGCAATTATTTCGTTGAGCACTTTTTGATAGCTTTTGTGTTTCTTGAGATATGAGTGATCGCCGAGAGCGGACCGCATCAGTGTCCTCTACTCCTTCTCCAATTTTAAAGGCGCATATCTCAAAAACTACGGTAGCTATCAAAAACTTGTAAAATGTTAAAATATGTAAAATTTTATGATGAGCAATTTATTAGTTGACCGTTTTTTGATAACTTGCTTCGTTCTTGAGATATAAACTATCGCCGGCAACAAGACGTGCCAGTTGCGCCTCTAGCTGTTCTACTCCTCTTTTAAAGCGCGTATCCCAAAAACTACAGTAGCTATCAAAATTTTGTAAATTACAAAAATGTGTAAAATTTTGGGCTGAGCAATTGTTTAGTTTACCAACTTTTGATAGGTCGTTTTGTTCTTGAGATATGAACGATCGCCCACAACAGGACGTGGTAATTGCGTCTCTAGCTGTTCTCCTATTCCCACCATCTTTAATAGCGCGTATCTCAAAAACTACGGTAGATATCAAAAACTTGAAAATTACAAAAATGTGTAAAATTTTATGCTGAGCAATTTTTTAGTTAATTTCTTTTTGATCGCTTGCTTGGTTCTTGAGATATGAGCAATCGCCCAGAGTCGGGCGCTTCCGTGACCTCTAATCGACCCACAAAATTTGAAGCGCGTACCTCAAAAACTACGGTAGCTATCAAAAAGTTGTAAACTACAGAAATGTCTAAAATTTTATGTTGAGCAATTTTTTAGTTGACCGCTTTTTGATAGCTCATTTGTTTCTTGAGATATGAGCAATCGCCGGCAACATGACGTTTCTGTGGAGCCTCTACTCCTTCACCAATTTTGAATGCGCGTATCTCAAAAACTACGGTAGCTATCAAAATGATGTAAATTACAAAAATGCGTAAAAATTTATGTTGAGCATTTTAGCAATTAACCATTTTTATAGCTTACTTCTTGAGATATGAGCGGTCGCCGACAACATGGCATTTCAGTAGCCTCTCTACTTTGCCTACAATCTTTAAAAACGCGTATCTCAAAAACTACAGTAGCCTGAATATTGAATTGTATACCAAAATGTGTACAATTTTATGATAAGCAATTTTGTAGTCAGTCACTTATTGATCGCTATCTTTGTTATTGAGATATGAGCGATCGCCGAGAACAGGGCTTGTCAGTTGCGCCTCTAGCTGTTCTACTCCTCCCACAATCTTTGAAAGCGCGTATCTCAAAACTACGGTAGCTATCAAAATTTTGTAAATTACAAAAATGTGTAAAATTTTGTTTTGAGCAATTTTAACTACTTTCTGATAGCATAAGTCTACAAATTCTCCTTTTTTCTAGTCGTCACCCTCTCTTGCTCCAAGAAGAAGCCTCCAGAATCTTCTAAACCTGTGGAACCGGCTCCTTTGAGCTCTCCAATACCCAAACCTTCGCAAGCAGGACCAATGAGGACTAGAAGTCGTCGGAGAAGAGGAAGATACCCTCTGACTGAAATGGAAGACGTCTTCCAGAATGAAGAAGATGTGAAAAAAGAGGAGAAGAAGGAGATGGGGGATGAGAATGAGGGATGGATCAGGGAAGAGGATTATTTGGCGAGGATGAAAAAGGAAGGAAAGAAGAGGGTGGAACCAGAGGACCATAGGATAATTGAGAAGTTTGATGGAGAGGGGAAGAAGTCGGGGAGATCTAGAAAATCAAAAAAATCAAAAAAATCAAAAAAATCGGAGAAGAAGGTGAAGCTGATCCCTATGCCACCAATGGCCAAAGAACAATTAATAACAAATGGCCCGAAAACTGATAACGATTATCCACTTCCTGACATTAAGAGTGATTGGGGGTCGGAGGATGAGAAGGTGAATTTTTAATTTTTGAGAATTTTTGAAAACCAAAAATTGAGAAATTCCAGAAAATGGAAGCCGAGGAGGAGAAGAAGGATGGCGACTCTTCAGGAGATTTCTGAGAACTGTTTTTTTTTAATTTTTGAATAAAAGGTGTTTTTTAATTTTAAATCCATTTTTTGGTTATAATTGTAGATCTGGGAATTTTACGAAAAAAAAGAAAAAAAATCGAATTTTCCAAATATTGTTTTTTGATTCTGAGAGTTTTGAAATGCCGAAATTTGAATTTGGCTCGTCGCGAGCTTCAAAATGAGTATAATCATGACCCACTTCCGTCATGTTTGGGTCCCGCTACGAAAACTACAGTAACCCGAAAATTTCGTGGTGGGACCCAACCCTGCGTCAAAGAGGGTCGTGCTTATACTCATTTTAAAGCTCTCAGCAAGCTAGAAACAATGAAAAATCAGAAAATTCATTATTTTCAACGAAAAAAAATCATTTATTTCCTGAAATTTTCTTTTCATCCCATTCTTTCAGCTCCTCTTTGTTGTCCTGCTTTTCGCCAGCCCATGCAGCGATGAAGAATACACCTCCTTCACCATTTTCCTTTCGTTTCTGAGATTTTTGAAAAACTATTTAGCTCAAAAAAATGTTCCCAACTCACTTTGTATTTTTCGTCCACTTCTTTATTTGTCATTACTCGACATTCCATCATAATTGCGAAGTCCTCAGTGTACGGTGTCATTTGCAGTTTGAATTTCTGAAATAAAGAATATTAGGTTACCAGCAAGCTGGTGCGCCTTCGGCTCAATTCAATCAATATTATTCTTTTCAAAAGGGATCATCAGTCATCTCTAGCGTTTTATATAAGGAAGTCACAATTTTTTCATTTGACAGTAAGAATGAAAATGAACTATTTACCTTGATGAGTTGATAGAAGACCCCAGTCAACACGTACATCGTTTCGTCCTTGTAACCAAACGAACCCCAACGAATTTCACACAATTCCCGAATCACATCCCAAAACTTGACTTTCGGATTGAAAAGAACTTCTTCGTAGACATACTGTAGCCCAATGAAAACCATCGTGTTGGCGGTTCCACGTACACAGTGCACAATCACGGGTTTCTAAAAATACTTTTTTTAAAAATCTTTTTTTTTGTTGGAAATATCTAAAAACGTTTGGGATGGGATGTTTGGGATGATTTTGGATGGGGCTATGGGAGTGATGCCTCCACTGGGACATCCCTATTTTAGCGCCAAATTCCATACACCGTAAAACCTGTAATAGAAGAGCCCCCGACTTTCAAATTTGAACCCATTTATCTCGGTCCCTGAAAATGATATCAAAATGTTGTCAACTGATAAAATGTTTATCATGATATTAGTGATATTATGATAAACATTTCATCAGTTGACACATTATTGATCTGGGCTGTCTCCAAAATTCGCTTACCTTGCTTGTATTAACCACTTTTAAGACCTCAAACACCGGTTCGTGTTCGGTAAAAATCATTTTCAAGTGCCATTTCAAGAAATGGAAGTGCTTAATGGTTCTAGTCGGGTAGACGCCACTGAAAACCAACTTTTTGAATTTCTAAAATTTTCAAAATCAAAAACCAACGATTTATCTTCAACCTCCAATTCTCTACAAGTCACTTTGTCTTGTATAAACGCAGTCTTCGTTTTTGTAGTGATTTTGAACCGGTCGAATTCCTTGACCTCATTGATTTTACGTCCATAGTAGACTGCACGGCTACGATCCGAGTAAGCTGCACATGAAACGATAAATTCCGATCCTTGGTCCATTGTCAAATTCCAAAAATCGTCACATGTGTTCACCGTCCTGCCTGTCGTACTGTCTCCCAAAGGAACCTGAAAAAGACGGTCGAGAAATTATCAAAACTCTCTGGAATTCACCTCAGCAGCCACGTAGACTATTTTTGATCTAGTGGCAATCCTCGTAGCATGATATGGATCCACTTCATCGTTAACTATCACTCGAGTGTCGGGATTCAGAGGCGGAGCCAACCAACCACCTGCAAATTTGATGAATTTTTAAACGCATTAAAAAATAGGGAAAACTGGAGAATTGGCAAAAAAGCGTTGACTTATAAATTTACACATTTTGTTAGTTATCAACGTTTTGATACCGACACCAAATCCCAAAAATGGAACGCACTTCTTTTGTTTTTCGGGATAAGTCTAAGTCTCTTTTCCTTGCCAGTGTTTCTGATTCCAATCAGTTTAATTACTCCCTGTTGGTGTTTTTCTTTGGCCTCTTTTGCACTGATCAATCGATTTTCTTTAATGAAATCCATGACAGCCTTTTTGATTTTGTTGACTTTATAGACACAAAAGTAGTAGGCAATACTTCCAGCCAGAATTGCAAGTAGTACAATGACGCCAACGCCGACGTAGATTCTGAAATTTTGGATTTTTTTTGGGATTTCCTAGAAATAACTCACATAGTCATAGCCATATCCTGTTCATCATCTCTTTTAGAATGATCCATTTCCAGAAAACTCGTCAAAAACTATGGAAAGCGTTGAAAGCGTTTGGAGCATTTCGGAATTGATTTTTGTGACTTGAAAAATCCAAATCAAGAGTTTCCAATTCTTCCAATGTCTTCAGACTTTCCTCCAGCTCTGACTTCATATTTGGGTCAATTTTATCCTGAGAAATCAAGAACTTCAATGATTTCGATTTTTCTTTGACATTGATTTTGGCACTTGAAATAGAGACTAGATTTTTAAATGGATTTCCAAGTTGGCCAATTGTATTAGATGTTGGAATTTTGGAGTCAAAGGATTTGATATCATTCAACGATTTTTGGATTTTCGAAATGTCCGATTTATGGTCACCCCATTGTTTTTCAACCTTCTTACGTTCCTCAGGATTCTGGATTTTCTGAATTTCAGATGTCACAGAAGCTCCGACGCTTGCGAGTTGAGCAATTTGAGATTCCATACGTTTCAAACCATAAGCATTATGAAGAGATGCTACAGACTGTCCGATGACTTTGGACTGAGCAATCGAATCTGGGAACTCATTGATTGACGTCGTCACATCTTTAGTTCCTTGGTTCATAGTACTTGGAATGTTCTTGAGGACCGAAAGACCTTTTGAAACTTGGGAGATTGCTGAAACCGCTGTTTCAACATTCTTGATCTCATCTAAATCTAGATTCCGAATCTTTTGAGCTGCCAAAACACCCAGAGAAACGTTTGCGGAATCATCAGTCAACTTCTGAAGACACTTATGAACACCCACTTCTTCACTGAATATGTTTAATTTCGTCGAGTCGTCAATCATAGTTTTGACTTCGTCTTTAAGGGATTTTGGAATATTTGCGAAACGAGTTTTCAACTGTTTGATATTCTCTCTTATGCTCTTAAACCCATTTTTGTTCTTGATATTATCCATCACCGAATCGATATCTTTGGCAGCTTGTGATTCGAAATCTTGAAATCCCAAAGATTTCATAACACCGTCAATTGTTGCTTTAATTTGTGTCGTGTCGAGACCTTCCAAAGCGGCGTTAGCATTTTCAGAAAGAGCTTTCAGCTTTTTCGCCGTCTCGACCACTTTTTCACTGCTTTCGTATTCATTTGGAAGGAGCGTTCTTTTTCCGTTACACTTTTTCAACTCATCAAGCAAACTTCCAACTTTTTCAGAAGAACTAGAATCTAGATTTGAAAGATAAGTAGAGAGGGTTTTAAATTTAGACATGGAAAGTAGAATGCTTCTTGATGAGATAGGTTTGAGTTTAACATCTAAGCCATTCAACTGTTCTTGTACTTTGAACAAAGGCTCTAATCCATTTGCCAGATTACCCAATCTCTCTCCTTCCGCCCCTGTCATCTTTCCAATCCATGGATCTCTAGATTCGACTTCCAACAGCTTCAGATCAGATAAACCATTCATAAATCCACTGGTGAACTTCTTCTGGTGTATTCTAGGCATGGAAATTGATTCTGACAGGTCATTTGCAGTTTGGATTCCTTTAGAAACAGTTTTAGAATCTGATGAAAGTCCGAGGACCAATTTTAGACTGCTGCCAATAGCTGTTTTACTTTCATCCGTGAATGAAATTTGGAAAGATCCACGTATTTTAATGAGGTGTATCATTTTTTCAAAAGGCTCCAGTACGGAAGGCCCTTTCCTCAGAGATGAATAACCGTTCAGAGCTTTCACACTTTTTTCAAATACATCGATTGCATCAGAGATTCCCTTCAGTTGGGCATTGAGATATGTGAGCTCAGACAGTGTGATTCTCAGCCAACTCGGATCAGATGTACCTTCACCTTCGAGATATTTCAGTTTTTCCTCTGCTTTATGCATATAAGTTCCTGGTGCTTCCAATGAATCAAAATTAAACTCTTGGTGGAAAGTTGTAATATCAGAGAAGTACTTCGATGATCCTTGTTGATTCTCCACATCTCCAACAGTTTTCGATTGCTCAATCAAATCATTCCAAGCCAACAACTGATCCTCATGATCCACTAGTTTGGAATCTAGAGTCGATTTCATCTTTTTCAGTTTACTTGTCAAACTGGTTATGGATGATGGGTTGAACTTGGCAACATCAGAAAAAGGGACATTCCCAAAATTCAGAAGCTCACCGACAACATCCTGATTTCAATTTTTGATATCCCATTTTGCAAGATTGAATTTGTGGAAAACACTGAAATCCAAATAGTGATTTTGTTCCATTGACCTGACCCAAGCCCCTAGGGCTAAGGGCTAGCAGAAAAAGTTGAGGCTAAACCCGTGAACTCTTTTCTTCAATTGCCAGCGGGTATAATTATAATATCTTTTTGACCTACCTAAATATCTTTTGGACGGATCTGTGGTTGTTGTAGGAATAGGATTACTGTAGTCTTATTTCATTTTATTAAACTTTCTTCTTGACCTTTTTTCAAATTTTCTCGTGTCTATTCTCTACGTCATTGCGACGTCGTCACCCGAATATCCACATTCATAATTTCCATAACCACAAATCACAAAATCTCATCTGCTTCCCGTCGTACCAGTCTGTTGTCTTTAATTGGTTTTGAACCTTTGCATCATGGTAATTACCCATTCTGAAAATCCCTTCTATGTCCCGCTCTGAAAATAAGTTTCCAGACTAAGAAAAGTAGTACGAGTACAGATGCGGCGAAGAAGATGAAGACGTCGAAGGAGAAAGTGGTTGAGAAGAAATCGAAGGATACGAAGAATACGAAGCAACAGAAGAAGAAGAAGGGATCCAATAATTCGAAATCGGCGGATTCGAAGGAGAAGTCTCCAAGAGAACCGCTTTGGTGTGAGTTTGGGATTCCGAATTTTTGATTCTGAAAATTTCAAAATTTAAAATTTTTAGAATTTTAAAGAATTCCAATTTTTTTGGATCTCAGGAATTTTCAGGATATTAATAATTTTGAGAAATTTCGAGAAATCTGTGTTTCCAGGAACTTGCTATGGAAATTAATTTTCTACAGTAATCTACCGTAGTTTTTGAAAACATCATCACGTCGAAATGCAGATCCTCATCTGTCAAAATTCTAAAAACACTAGAAGTTCTGAAAATCTTGAAAATCCTAAAAAATCTTTGAAAACTCTAAAAATGCATTAAAATTCTTGAAAATCTTTAAAAATCCTATATTCTTAAAATTACTGGAATTGTTCAAAAATCTGGAAAACCTTGAAAACTCCAAAATACCGTAAAACCTGTATCAGAAGAACCCCACTAATTGAAGTGCCCCCTAGAACCCCACGATAAATAGAAGCCCTTCTAATACAGATTTTAAGGTTTTCTGAAAATTCCGAAAATCTTTAAATTCTCAAGAATCCCAAAGATAGGAAATTCTAGAATCTAGAATTCAGAATTTTGAAAAAAACGGAAAATTAAAAAATTTTCAGTGATCAACAAGCGGCTCTTCGGCATCACCTTCTTCAATGGACTGCAAACTGGACTTGGACTGCAAACTCGTCATGAAAACGTTTTTTGGCATGCCTCCATTGAAAGGTCTCGTTGCCGAAACCATGAAACGTCACGATGACAAATGCAGGTACGCCTACCGCAATCCTACAGTAACCCAATTTTGTATTTTTAAGGTACTCTGACATTCTGTGCATTGATAAGACTCGTGTCGTCCTAAAGGATCGTCCCAAGGTGACTGATTTCATTCATGCCAATTGGATGACGATGCCTGACAAGTTCAAGTACATTTCTGCGCAGGTACTTTAGGCGAAAAATTCAAAAAAGTTAGAAACAAATTTTCTAGGGTCCCATGGATGAGACAACCGAGGATTTCTGGCATATGATCTTCACTGAAAAGGTTCCAGCCATTGTTATGATTTGTGACTTTTTTGAAGGTAAATATAACATTTTTGACTTCTTGGATGGCCCACAGTTTTCAGACAACTACCAAAAATGTCCCCAATACATCCCAGAGGACACCGCCCAAACCATCCAATTCGGTCCATACAAAATCACCCGTACCGACACGCCGTCCCTCGTTTTTGAAGACGTCACTCAGCAGACTCTGGAAGTTTCCGTTCCAGACAAGCCGACACACGTCGCCACCCACTTCCACTACCGTAACTGGCGTGATCATTCGGCTCCGATGACTTCTGGATCCACGTTGAAGTTGTTGAAGATGTTAAGGGAGCCGAAGGTAAGGAGGGGGACATCCAGACAAACAGACACACAAAAAATTCGAAAATTTTAATTTCAGTTCAAATGCGGACCTCCTGTCATTCATTGCTCGGCTGGAATCGGAAGAACCGCCACGTTCATTGGTAAGGACCCAAATTTTATGAAGCCACTTTTTTTTGAATTTGGCGCCAAAACACATGTTTCCGCTTTAGCCATCTGCTTTGTCGCGCTTACTGGCTGGTGCGCCCGCGGCGCGATTCGATCATGTTTTGTTTTTTGATTTTAAAATTATAGGCTTAGGCAGACCTAGGCAGGCTTAGTCAGGCTTAGTCAGGCTTAGGTAGGTTTAGGCAGGTTTAGGCTAGCTTAGCCTGGCCTATGATTTCAAAAAGTTTTTTTAAAAATCGCACCGAAGGTTTGCCGCGCTTCCGGCGCCTGGCTGGTGCGCCTTCGGCGGGGTTCATTTTATTTTTTTTAATTTTAAAATTATAGGCTTAGGAAAAACAAATTCAAGTTTGAAAATTTAGATTAAGTCGCGCCAAAGGCGCGCCAGCTAGACGTCCAAACAGATGGTAAAGGTAAGCTTAGACTACAATGTCTTGATTCCTTTCCACCCGTATTTTGGCGCTAAATTCGAAAATTTGGGCTTTTCTATAATTTTATAAAATCCTAGGTGTGGACTACGGTGGTCAACGTATCGGTCAATTGGGTGAGAAGACTGACATGTTTGAGATTGTCAATGAAATGCGTCGTATGAGACACAAGGCCGTCCAGAGTCACCATCAGTTCATGTTCATGCTCGTCTGTATCTCGGATCAGATGGTTATGGTGAGGGATTCTTGAATTGTAGGATGCCTAAACTCCCTAACTTTGAGCCAATTTATCTAGGTTCCTATGAGAGATATAAGAAAGTTGTCAACTGATAAATTGTGTATCAAATTATCACCAGTATTTTATTAGTTAACAACGTTTTATATCTCTCATAAGAGCCGAGATAATTGAACTCAAACTTACGGTATTCTCAAATTATCGCATTTTCAGGAAGGCGTCCCTCGAAACGCGGACATGCAGGATCTTCTAGACTTCTACAAGTCTTATATGACACATCAAGCCGAGAAGAGAAAGGAGAAGGCTGGGAAAGAAAAAGCTAAGAAGGAAAAGGCTGAAAAGGCAAAGTCAGCGGAGAAGGATGACATGAAGACAGCTAGAGATGTTGATGTTGTAGCTGATAAGGAGGAGCTGAAGGAGAAGTCCACCCAGAATTCGACTGAATCGAATTCGAACTCGAATACCCAAACGTACACTACTAGTACCACTACCACCACGACCACTACCCAGACCCAGGATACCACCACCACCCAAGAGAATCAATAGAAGGGATTGCTCATGTAGTTTCAGAATAATCGCATATTTATGTTTTCCTATTATTGTGTGTGTATTTAATGAATAAAAGGAATGTTTCAAATAATGTTTCAAATAATTTCAAATAATGTTTCAAATAATATATTTATAAAGGAATGTTTCAAGATGAGAAGGATTGTCCCGCCCTTAGATTTCACTGTAACACCTATTTAGGGAGGTGTCATAAAAGTTGTAGGCCATCTCGGGAAATGGTACTTGAGTCGACTGCGTCACGATTTCGTCCCCGGAACTGTCCCCCGAAATATTTGCCGTCTCGCCTCCTTTAAACCGCTGGCTGGGGCGCCTTCGGCGCGATTAAACGTATTTTTTTCTCAAAAAGTCACGTCAATTACTATTCATATTATATGATAAACCACAAAACCACAAAAATATATCCGTGTGTTCCTGCTCCCATTGCTCTATATCTGCTCCAGATCTTTGTTTATATAAGGCATCCACACTAGATACCCCCATCAGTTCCTTCTTCTACAAACGGTAATCATTCTTTGGAGGATGCAACTGGACGAGCCGAAACCACCGGATCCTTCCATTTTTGGCATTTTTTGAAAATCGATCGACAACGAATTGGACCTTATCCGAAGACATCGACATCCTTTTCTGCTCAACAACATCTCTCTCGCTCTCTCTCTCTCTCCAACTCGCCGAAGCTCTCATTTCTCTTCAACCGCGAACCGTAAAAATGAACATCTTCCGAAAATAAAGACATTTTTTCTAATTTTTTTCTGTGTTTTGTGTTGTCGGGGTCATTTGAATTCAGACAATTTTTAAGAGTTTTGAAAGATTTAAAACTTTGAAATTAATAGAATTTGAATTTCATGGATTTTTTGAAATTACGGAATTTCGAAATTTATAGAATTTTTGAAGTTTATTGATTTTTCTTTTGTGATTTTTCGAATTTTTGAATTCTATGAAATCAGATTCCCGGAGTTTCAGAATATGTTGAAAATTCGGTTTCTTAAAATATCGGAAATTCGTTTCATTATTGAATTTTTTGGAACTTTTGAAATTTATGGAAATTTAAATTTTCTGGAATTTTTGAATATTCTTGAAATTTGTGTTTTCTGGTCTTTTCAACACGAAATTGACAGATTTTTGTTAAATTTCTGAAATTCTCGAAGTTGCTGAGTTTCTTGGATTCCCTTGAGTTTTAAAATTTTCTGAAAAGTTCGAATTTTTTGAAAATTGTATTTTCTGGAATTTGAAAATTTGAAATTTTCTTTTTCATTTATTTTTAACTTTATTTTCAAATTTAAACTTTATGGATTTTTAATATTCATTGGAATTTTTGAAAAAGTTTTCGAATTTTTCGAATTTTTCAATTCTTTGAGTCATGAGATTCTCGGAGTTTCATAATTTGTGGAAAATTCGGTTTATAAAAATTCATGGAATTTTTAAAATTTCTGAAATTTCGAATTTCTGAAATTTTTGAATTTTATGGAGCTTTCGAATTTTATAGAATTTTTAAAATTAATGGAAGTTTCTATTTTTCTGGAGTTTCTGAAGTTTTTGCAATTCTTGAATTTTTTTAAAGTTTGTATTTCCTGGAATTTTCGGGTTTTCTGGAATTTCTGCATTTTCTGAAATATTTTAGTCTCTGAAATTTTTGAGTACCAGTCGGTTTACGCCCCTTCGAGGCTAAACCTCCTGGCCTCCGGTCGCCCTCCACCATCGCCCTTTCTGCCCACCACACTTTATGAAACCAAGGAACGTCTTCAGAAAACTTTAAAATCAAAATTGCGAAAAACCAAAAGTTCGGGCATCAACTAAGACACAATTCTGACCGATCTGTCTAGGTTTCAGCTTGATCGGTTAACTCTGAATGGGTGATAAGGTACATACATACGCAAATACAGAATCTGATGAATGTTATTAGTAATGATTTGATTTTCAAAAAAAATCCAGACAATTCAGATACTCCCTGATTTAGGAGCCCTAAATCAAGAATTGAAAATTAAGGAAAATCTTGAAAATTTCAATTTTGAAAATCTTTATTTTCACAATTATTATGAAGAATCACACTTGAGATTGCTTTGAAATGTGGTGATTTATCACTGATAAACGATAGGAAAGAGATTATTATTATTGTTATAAAACTGGGAATTTAAAATTGAAATCGGTTCGGGAATCAGATGAAATGAAAAATAGAATGCTTAACTTATTGATTTGAGATTCTTAGAGGGAGTTTGTGTTTTGAAAAATGAGTTTTTAACATAATTAGGGGTTCAAATTGGGGGAAAAATTCAATTCAATGGACCCGGAATTTCTTTGGATTGATTGCCTCCCCTTCTGGTCCATTGACCCGTTCATAAATGCTCATTAGATCCGTCGCCCAATTTCTAGACCTCCCTGATCCTCGAATGATATTCATGACAAAAAAGTCACCATCCGTGTTCGGTAGTTTTGGGAATTTGCTGATTTTTTCCATCGCATCGTTAAGGAAATCTCGATGAAATTCAAAGTGATTTGGTTTCGGAGATTGGCCACGTGATCTTATCAAAATCATCATATTCAATGAGATTAGGAAAGATACCATACTCTCTTGAAGTGACTTGACAGATATTCATGTAGTGACTGAAATTTTGGCATTATTTTTCAGAAAATAAAATTGCCAAACTTACAGTAACCTTTTAAAAATGTTTTTCTCGACAAAAACGTATAAAGTGTTCAATGAGACAAAATCTAAGAGTCCCTTAAAAATATCCAGAATCCACATCTCAATATCCACAATTCCATTGTAATCTCTGGTTTTTCGAATCGCAAATCGAATGAATCTATCCGAAGCAAAGTGCAATTGTGGAACGGTAAAATCGGTTTTCGAATATTTCAGAAGCTTGAAAATCACAGAAGCCAATGGTTGGTACAGTTCGACGGTGAATTCGTGGGGCGGGATACAATTTAGGCATACAGATAAATACATGAGCAATCGATACTGATCTTTTTCAGCTATTGATCTTGCTTGTTCTGGAGTGAGACGGCTGAAATTATTGCAAAACGTTTCCAGGAAATCCAAAATTCCTATTTCAGGGAGCTCCCAATTTTTCGGAAAATTCGGATATACCGAAAATTCGCACAGATAGTTAGAAAATTGTCTAAATTCATACGACTATAATTTGAGCTTCAGGTCATTTTTGAGCTTACGAAACTCAGAGAGTTGGATATTGGCAGAATTGGGTGGTTTTGAAAGTTTTTTATGCGTCTTTGAACCTTGCGGAGGGCGCCAGACGACGAGAGCACTCTCGCTTCTCTATGTCTCTCGAAAACTTTGAAGACGCATAACACGCGTTGCTGCCGGGTGAGCTACGGTAGCAGAAATTGCGCTACCGGCGATATAAGAGATACGAATCAAAATTACTATAACTAGATCCTTATAGGCAAAATAACAAAAAAAATCATCTAAAACGAGAAATTTTGAGCCGAGTTATGATAATTTAGAATTTAAAAAAAGTTATCGTGTAGCTCTTTAAATTTCCTACAAATCTAGCCAAAAATCAATGAAAACGGACAATTTTGAGCAGAGTTATGCGCCTTTAAACTTTGTGGAGGGCGCCAGACGACGAGAGCACTCTCGCTTCTCTGTGTCTCTCGCATCCAAACTTTAAAGGCCCATATCTCACTTCAAACTCTCGCTAGAAACTTAATTTTCAGCATGTTTTAATTGTCAGATTTTGAACTTTCAGACGATATACAAGATTTAAACAAATTTTCTTAAAAACCACTGTAATCCTTTTTTTCGAGTCATTTAACATTTTCGATATCTCTGTATTTTCAAAAAATGCCATATATGAAAATTCTGAATAAATAAAATATTAAAGCCGATTACCTACAAATCTAGCCAAAAATCAATAAAATCGGACAATTTCGAGCAGAGTTATGCGCCTTTAAACTTCTTGGAGGGCGCCAGACGACGAGAGCACTCTCGCTTCCCTGCGTCTCTCGCAAAATTTAAATGCTCATATCTTGCTTCAAACTTTCGCAAGAAACTTAATTTTTAGCGTATTTTGATTGCCAGGTTTTAAACTTTCAGATGATATGCAAGGTTTAAACATGTTTTCCTAAAAAACTACAGTAATCCATCCAAAAAACTCACTCAATATTGTTTCCCAAAAACTTCAAGCACTCTTGAAACAAGCTTTTCCTTGGATCAATACACTGTAGTAAGCATTCTGCGGCCTGTTTACATAGATTATCCAAATGAGAATGGCACAGAACTTCAACTTCGTTTTGAAGTTGGTATCTGACGAGTTCGAGTCGATAGCCTAGACAGTACTCGTTGTTTTCATCAAATGGGTATACGGTTGCTGGAATGGTCAGACTACACTTGACCACCGTTTGTTTCGGTTTCCGATTCAAAAACGAAAATTCAAATTATCTACAACTTTTGTATACCATCAGAAAGCTTTTAAAATTTTCTACAAAACTATGCAAACAAGATATGCGCCTTTAAACATCTAGGGAGACGCAGAGAAGCGAGAGTGCTCTCATCGTCTGGCGCCCTCCACAAAGTTTAAAGGCGCATAACTCTGCTCAAAATTGTCCGTTTTCATTGATTTTTGGCTAGCTTTGTAGGAAATTTAAAGAGCTACAAGGATATATAAATTTCAAAAAGACATTTTTCTCTAAAAACTTTCAAATCTATCAAAATTCAAAGCCAATATCCAAAAGTAAAGATATTCCAAAGAAACTTACTTAATGTATTCTAACATGAACAGCAAACAAGCTAGTAATCCTTTCTCCGTGCAGTTGTGCTTCAAATAAATATCACTGACAAACTGAAACACATGCTCCCAATCGACATGATTCAGATTTTCCATATCGGTTTTCACAAATTCCGTCATATGTTCTAGAGCTGTAACAAGAGGACGAAGTGCTATGCGATCAGTTTTCATGGAGAATGAAACGACCTCCATACACGTTTCAATCGTTTCAAATGTCTGAAGTTTGATGGAACGATTCTCGGGGATGTATACAGACCCAGCTGGAATTTTCTCAAGAGGAGTTTCTGGAATATTCTGGGATTTTTCTTCAGAAGTTCAGAGATTCACTCACCCAGCAAGCAAACGATTTCCAACTTCGGATGAGTATCGATTAGTTTTTCCAATTCCTCCAAATTCATATCGTTCTGCATACAACCCAAAAATCTCAACTCCGGCAGGCATTGCTTACACTCCATGTAGAATTTGAAGTTATTCGAATAATGCACAGTGCTCCTAAAGTTTGAAACGTTGGTCTCCTGTCATTTTTTGGATTTCGATTCTAATTTTATATTTATATTCATATATGACTTTTTTTAAATACAGAAATTTTGAAAATTTTAAATGACTCGAAGGAAAGGATTACTGTAATTTTTCAGAAATCTGAAAGCTCAAAATCGGACAATCAAAATACGTTAAAAATGAAGTTTCTTGCGAAAGTTTGAAGCAAGATATGAGCCTTTACATTTTGCGAGAGACGCAGAGAAGCGAGAGTGCTCTCGTCGTCTGGCACCCTCCACAATGTTTGAACGCGCATAACTCTGCTTAATCTTTTCCGATTTTATTGATTTTTAGCTAGATTTGTAGGTAATTTGAAAAGCTACAAGGTCTTTAAATATAAAACCTTTCAAACCTACACAATTCTCCCAATATCCAAAACTCTGAGTTTCTTGAGCTCAAAAATGCCCTGAAGATCTTCTTTGTCTTGGAATTCGGTATCCGGAAGTAAAAGAATTTCCAAATTTTTGAGCTTCGAAATTGAAGCATAGTCAGCTATGAGATCGTCGTGCAGTTCCAGCTTAGTGAGGTTTTGAAGTCTATCACAGAGCCTCTCAAATTCATCAGAATTCAAAGATACCTTATCCAGAACAAGAGAATCCAGATTTGGAAGGAGAATGTGGATCTGAATAAAAAATTGAATCGATAAATGTTTTCGTCAAATTCTTACATATCGAGTCCAATTAGGGGTGAATTCCAAATCTCCCTGTTGTATACTCAAATGTCTCAAAGTTCGGCGACTTTCTGGATTCAGAAGACGAGTCAAAACATGATATATGTCCACGTGAGTTTTCTGTATTCCTGTAAAAAAATTAAATTTTTTTTGACTATATAATTTTTTTAAAAGTTACCATCGTCTTCTTGGACATAATGATCATGAAAAATTGGCACTGCCTCCAAGTTTCTCAATTCAAGAGTTATCAAATTCTGACCGTAGATTGCTTCACGCTGTTCTTCGGTGAATCCCATGGGTAACTGGAATTCCGTGATTTTTAGTTTTTCTATGGATTCGGCAGCCGAGATTTCAGTGAATCCTTCTGTTCTGCACATTGTTTTGAATATTGTTTGGCTCATTTTGGTATCATGGATTTTGAATTCCGATCCTTTGTAGGTTCCTAAAAATTATTTTTTAGACTTTCTGGGAGTACAAAAATAAAAAAAGTCTGAAAATTTTGGCTTATGGGATTTCTGAGAAACGATAGATAACCACCAAGGAAAAATTTCAGAAAATAAAATTTTGAAATTTATAATTCAAATATTCTACAACTTTTGTATATCATCAGGAAGCTGTTGAAATTTCCTACAAAATTATGCAGATTTTACTTTTTTAGTTTTAATTTGAAGCAAGTTATGCGCCTTTGAACATCCAGAGAGACACAGAGAAACGAGAGTGTTCTCGTCGACTGGCGCCCTCCAAGAAATTTAAAAGCGCATAACTCTGCTCAAAATTGTCCGATTTTATTGATTATTGGCTAGCTTTGTAGAAAATTTGAAGGGCTACAAGGTCATATAAGGTTTTTTTTTTAAATTTTTAAAATCACTATAACTCGGCTCAAAAATTTCCATTTCAGCTGACTTTTTGTGTTATTTTGACTCTGAGCTCAATTATCTCGGTTCCTAAGAGAGACATAAAAAATTTGTCAACTGATAAATTGTTCATAATGATACTACAAACATTTTATCAGTTTACACATTTTTGATATCTCTTATACGAATTGAGATAATTGAGCTACCCTTCTGTTACAGGTTTAAGGTAATTTTTTTTTGATTTTTCAACAAAAAAAAACTCACGATTAGTCGAAACCTGTATGGCTATTTGATTTTACTTTTTTAGCTTCAATTTCAAGCAAGTTATGCGCCTTTAAACATCGAGAGAGACGCAGAGAAACGAGAGTGCTCTCGTCGACTGGCGCAAAGTTTAAAGGTGCATAACTCTGCTTAAACTCGTTTGATTTCTTGGATTTTTAGCTCCTCGAATTGTAGCAAATTTAGAAGTGCTACAAGTTTTTTTTTCAAAATTGTGAAAGTATTTTTCAAAATTGTGAAAGCACTCGACACAAAAACTTTCTCGTTTGACTGTTTTTGTGTTTTTTTGACTTTGAGCCTGACTACCGTAAAAACTCTAATATATAGCCCCTCTTAATTGAACGCCACCCTCTAATAGAACGTTCTCTGAGCAGTGCTTTGAAACACCCTCTAATAGTGCGTCACCCCAAAAGTACATTTTCGTTTCACCTACTAATTGTTAATCCCAAAAGAAACATCAAATAATGAAAATGGTTGAAATTGGTTGAATTTGAATGTTTTGAACCTTTTTGAATATTTTTGTGTGCTGATAACATTCTACATCATCTCGAATAATAGAATGCCAGCCTCTAATAGAACGTTCTCCCAGCTATGTATTGAAAAATAGAACGCCATGGTGTTAAATTAGAGTTTTTACGGTATCTCAGTTCCTATAAGAGATATCAAAATGTTGTCAACTGATAAAATATTGGTGATATTATGATAAATATTTTATTCGTTGACAAAATTTGCGCATCTCTCATAAGAACCGAGATAATTGAGCTTGAAGTTGACGTTCTTTCTTTTCCCTCTGCGTCTCTCATTATCTCGCCCCAAGATTTTTCTTTGTTTTTCAAATACCTACCATTTTTCATATATTTCGCTACATACTGGAGAGCTATTACTTGTAGAGATTCGTCCATATTTGAACTTTCTGTCTGAAAAAAAAAGTGATTTTAGTGTTCAAAAACCAATTAAAAAAGAGAAAAAAGAAAGGAAAAAAGGAAAAGAAAAAGGAAAGAAGAAGAAGGAAAAGGAAAAGGGGAAGAGGAAGAACAGAGGATGTAATACGTATAAAAAGTAGAAGAAGAAGACGAAGAAGGTGAGAGTACAGAGAGGGCAGAGAAAGGAGAAAATGAGAACCTGCTCTTTATGCGCTCACGGACACTCATATGAGCACCTTTTCTTAAAATTTATTCATCACTGTTCTTGTTAAAGATATGAAAAAGTTGTCAACTAATAAAATGTTTAAAATAAAATTCTACATATTTTATTAGCCGACAATTCTTTTGTATCTCAATTAGGAAGCTAATTCACTTCAAAGTTAGCGGTGTAGAAAGCGCAAGTCGAGCCCTAGTCGATCCTTTTAAGCGATGTTATTGTCGGAATAAAAAAAAGTGAGACTTGGTGTTTGCGTACTTTGATTCCCGCCTCCCCCCACCGACGCTCCGCCCATCGCTTTGCAAGTGCGGCGTGGTGTTTTGGCGCCACTTGGGAGATCATCGGATTTAATGAGATTTTCATAGAAAATAGAAT